TCCATCCTTTAATAACTTCCTAGCATTTAAAAAGTAAGAGGCAATGGCCCGACGTGTTCATAAATCTGAAAAACGTAAAGGATGGAGGGAGTTTTGTAAAACTCTTTCCCCTAAAACTCCAATTTCCCGCATATGGAAGTTTATCAAGCGATTTAAAAACAGACGTATGGGTATCTCTTCCTCTCCTCCTTCCTCGTCCCTATCCTTTTCACATGATTATTAATAAATGACTATTAATTCTATATGTCCTGCTTCCTCTTTTCATAAAATATATTTTTGTATCGATGATTTTCCTTCTTCTTCTATTAAAAGTAATTCCTTTTCTGATCCCTTTACTCTTAGAGAATTACTCTCGGTTATTTATAATTCGAGGATTCGTTCTTCTCCGGGACTTGATCAGCTTGATTATAATATTATTTCGTCCTTTCCTGTTGAATATCTTACTTTACTTCTGGATATTTATAATAAATTATTTTCTTCGGGTTTCTTTCCTTCCTCTTGGAATCACTCTGATATTTCTTATTCCTAAAAGCTCTCCGGGGAAATTTCGTCCTATTTCTTTAACTTCGTGCATGCTCAAGGTTATAAAAAGACTTATTTTGACTAGTCTTAAGCGGTGGATCAAATCTTCTAAGATTTTTCCGACTTTTCAGTTTGGTTTTAGGAGAAGAAGGTCATGTCTTGATAATCTTGCATTGCTTGCTGCAGAGATTTTTGCGGGATATGCATCGTCTCAAGATGTTGCCTGCTTATTTCTTGATATTGAGGGGGCCTTTAACGTTATTCCTAACATTCTTTTGATGGACCTCATTGAGATGGGATTGTCTCCTCAGATTTATTTCTTTATCTATAATTTGATTTCTATTAGACATGTCCAATTTGTAAATAATGGCATTTTTTCTGACTTTTTTTATACGTACAAGGGTGTCCCTCAGGGTTTTATTCTTAGTCCGCTCTTGTTCAACTTGTACGTTCGGGATTGTGCGCGGCATTTTCACGCTGATTGTCAGATTGTCCACTTTACAGATAATATTGCTCTTTTTGTTCGTTCTCCTGATCTTAGGAATTCACTTGGGGTGTTGAAGGAGTCGGCTAATGGACTTTCTTATTATCTTTCCTCACGTAGGCTTCGTGTCTCTCCATCTAAGTCGGCCTTGATGATCTTTTCTCAAAAAAGAATTAAATTTTCCCAGTTTTCGATTAACTTGGATGATTCTATTATTTATCCTTCTTCCTCATATAAATTTTTAAGAAATTATCTTGATCCTAAGATGGGGGGGCCAAAGGCATGTACAATATTAATTTGTAAATGTGGTAAGCTGGCTAATGTTCTTAGATCTCTGTGTGGTGTGTGATGAGGAGCTGACCCGCGTACTCTCCTATCTATTTATAAAGCTCTAGTTCGAGGATCAATATGGTTCCTTTTTTTTTCCTTTGCATAAAAAAGTTCTTGAAAAGCTCGATATAATTCAGCAAAGAGCTCTTCGTTATTGTGTGGGTGCTAGGTGTTCGACCCCTACAAATGTGTTATATTCTGAGGCTGGAATTAGTCCGATGAGACCGAGGATGATCTTTCTTGCCTCAAAATTTATTATTAAGTCTTTAGCTCTTTCCTTTAATCCTTTGATTGATAAGCTTTTTAATCTCCAAAATATTATTTTTTTGAATAAAAATAGATTTCATGTTTTAACAAATTTTTACTTTATAAGGCCTTTCTTGTGGTCAAGAAGTATAAGTCTTCTTTAGCATCTTTTTCCAACATTCCTTTGTTTTTATTTTCATATGAGACTTCTTCTTTTATGTCTTGTATAAATTCGACTCCTTGTTTCAGGAGGGATGGATCTTACCCTGATCCTCTTGAGATTTTTGGGCGTTTTGCTTCGGGTCTTAATGATCGAGTGTTTTTCTTTACTGATGCATCTAAGAAAGATTCTTTGTCTAGCGTGGGGATTGCCTATGCTTCTCTCTCTTTGGGAGTCGAGAGAATGTATAAAGCGAACTCTAGATTTTCAATTTTTTCAGGAAATGTATGGCTTTGATTTATGCTGTTGATTATGTTCTTGAGCATAATATCCGTAGAACGGTTATTTTTTTCTAACTCTAAGAGTGTTATAGATGTTCTGTCTTCGAGGAGATTGGATCATGATTGCAATTATCTTATTCTAACTTTAAAAAATAATTAAGATCTGCCTCTCTCCAGGATGTTGATATTGTTTTGTCCTAGATTCCGGCTCATGTTGGAGTTCCGGGTAATGAGGCCGCTGATTCTCTGGCCAAAAGAGCTGTGAGGGAGGGTGTCTCGTGTAACTTTCTTGTCCCTCATTCTGACTTTTGCTCGGTTGTTCGGGATAATTATTTGTCGACTGTGCGTGAATGCCTTTGCGTCAGTCTGATTTCAAGGGTTTGCAGTATTTTCGTTGCTATTCTGGTTTTTTGTCTAAGCTGTGGTTTGCTGGGATGGGTCTTGGTCGTCGGGCTATAGTGACTGCCGTTAGAATTCGTGCTAATCATTATAATTTGAATTCCAGCCTTTCTAGGTACAACATTGTCCAGTCGCCGTTGTGTGATTGTGGAGCTTCTGTCCAAATATTGGTCATGTCCTTTGGTCCTGCCCTCTCTATGATGAACATCGTTCTTCGCTGCTTCTGTCTATTGAGAGTGAATTGAAGATTCCGCCTCCGTATGACATCTTCGTGCTTTTCAGGGATTCTTCCAGAGTTATCTATCCTATCTTGTCCTTTTTAAACAAAAGCAATTTATCTATTTGACTGGAGTGCGCTTTGTTTAAGCTATATCTCAATATAATTTAAGAAGAGATCTCTGACAGCATGGTCTAAGAACCTTTGCCAACAAATTGAAGAAGAAGGCTTCGCCTCGTGCGCCAAACTTCTGCACTCTCGGCTGATTTACGATCCCCCGCACTTGTTAGCTAATATACTATTATGTGCAATGGTAATTGATAATTTTATATATACAAAAAACAAGAATTTATTTTAAAATTACATTTATATATAAATTCTACATATTTTGTTTACATGTAACATTATTTTAATCATAAAATTAACAAAACTAATAAACGATTAAAATATATCCTAATATATACTTATATAAATGTGTAATAAAAATTTTTAATAAAAAAGAAAAATTTATTATCAAAACATGTAAAATATATAACAGTGCCGATTAAATTCTTAAATTGGCTAACGATCTGTTAAAATAATTAACTATGCTAGTATATTTGCTTTTTAATATTGTATTAATTCATGTTATTTGATAATAATTACGTGAGAGATTTTAAACAAAAAAAATATATATATAGTTTTCTACAGAATATTGTAAAATTTGTTTATATGTTCGCTTATCATTAATATGCTTACATTAATTGTAAGTAAACGTAATTTCCAAGGTTACTTAAACTATAAGAAAGAGATATACAAGATAGAAGCATTATTGGCTGTACAGAATATAACTAGATAAATGTCAATGCATATTATGATCATTAATCTTGTTATTTACAAGCATGCTTATTTAACGCTAATTACATAAACGCACATAATAATGTAATTATACTGCTAAACCCTGAGTAAATAATATATAATGTTAGGCAACACATGTAAAGTCTGAATGTCAAATGCATTAGTGATTATAAACTAGTACATTTTTTTTTAATAATAACAAAGCATATGATAACAATGTACAATATATAGTATAAAACATTTTAATTAAAATGTCACTTATCATATAAATTTTTCACATTAAAGTTATACATAAAAATTTCATATATTGCTTCCATCTTGTTTTTTTTCCAGAAAATAATATACATTATGTGTATAGAGTTTGAAATTTTTATTATATGCATCCCCCTTTTATCTTTTAATAAGTATACATATGCTCTTATGCTAATGCATTTCATTATTCATATACATGTAAATAGTTCTATCTATCTCTAATTAACAGCAGAAATTTATTATATATCCTTGAAATATGTATATTGTATCAATATATGATGCGTCTACATATAAAATGCAAGATTTTCAATGCAACAATTGTATTAAATCAATTTCAGGTGTTGTTTTCGAGCGTTCCCACTAAATAATAAATATATACTTGTGCAGACTTTGAAACTACTTTGATAATAATATATTCGAAGCTTTTTTCATAGCCATTAATGTCAATGTTTTATACATTTTTTAAAAATATTGTAATAAAATGAGATAAGTGTTATCATAATTTATTATAAAATTATGATTATAATTAATATATCATAAAAAAAGATTACACAAATATAATATAATAATTAAATAATATAAAAAAGAATATACAGAAAAAATATATATTCAAATCTATATCAAGTTGCAGTATTCCAACTATAAATATCTCCATTTTGTATCCACCTTTCTATGCTGAATATTTATCTCCATAAACAAAAAATATTTAATTAGATAACAATTAAATTAGATTAGATAACATTATTGCGGAAAACATTCCAAATAACAAACTGATGTCATTAAACGCCAAAATGACGTACGCTTGCTATCTAGGATATATTTTTAATTTTATATTAAAAAAGAATATGCATCATATTTTTGCTAATAATATCCCTAATTTAAACTATATACATATTGTGTGAATTTAAATAACAGTAACCATATTTTAAAATAAAATAAATATGAGATAGAAAAAATCAGAGAAAAAAAAGAAATATAAAAAAAAGAAATGATAAAATAAATGAATTTGCTGTATATTACGCTTGATACTTTGATACTTTGGCAGTGCAAGAGTGATAAATGATACCATGTTTTATTATAATTTCTTCACTATAAAATCCAAAAAATAGTTCTTTAAAGAAAAAGTTACTTTTTCAATAAATATAATTAATTACATTCAAAATAACATATATAATTCTTGCTTTTGCTATTAAATAAAAAAATATATAATTAGAAAAATGTTTTATTGTAAAATTATTTCGAAACAAAAGATAGAGAAATAAAACAAATTTTATTGATACTTTAATGTTATTTATAGTTGCACTGTAATTTTAAATCTAAAAAAGATAAGCTATAATAATGTTAAAGTAACAAGAGTATTAGTGTGTATTATGTGTGTATGTATGTGTATGTGTATGAAGTAAATAAGATAAAGATTCTAGGCTATTATTTTAAGGCTCCTGGATCCTCGCCGCAGCCATATTGAATTGTGACGTCAGAGGCAACAAAACATACGCTAAAAATTCTTAGATGTCATTTTGATATGAAAAGATATTTTGGATGAAACAGGACTTCAGATGACTTTAGCACACTTTTAAAATACTTCGAAAATTGTTCTTTTCGATTTATGTAAAAATATATGGTTTTATTTTAAAAAAATTAAGTTGACCTTGAAATAATCTTCAAATTTGACCTCTAAGTCAAGGTCAATAATGGACGGTATTCATAGTCCGTTCTTATATTTAAGATCGTCTTAAGACCTCGTTCAACCAATCAAATGGCCGCATAGCATCTCTTGATTGGTTGAACAAGGTCTTAAGACGATTTTAAATATAAGAACGGAATATGAATTCCGCCCAATATCGCCATCAAGTGCCTCACTTTAAATCCTATTACTTTTGTATTTAATCTTTTTTATATCCTACTGTTTCCGATTATGAAGACAATCAATTCAGCGTGTACTTCTCGCTTATGACATCACAATTCCACATGGTCGCGGCGAGGATCCAGGAGCCTTAATTAAAACAAAAATCAAAATTGAAATACTATTATAACAAATATATCTGGCAATGAGTATGTATATTAAAATAAAAAGGGATACACACGCATATACAGATATATTATAGACCGGGATGTTTGAAATAATTATCTCTTATATTCCTGCAACTTCCACAATTTCGTGGATACGTAAAGATTTAAAAAAAAAGGTTTATATAAATAATGAAAATTGTCGAAAACGATTATATCCCATGGAAAGGCGATATAATGTGAGCCATTACATAAAAAAATAAAATACTATTGTTTCCATTGAAAGCAGGACGCGACTCAAAAAAGAATATGTATGGAGTTGAAGTAATATTGTTGCCAGAAAATAACATGGATAAGAAACAACTGATCAGCGTAGATCCGGGTTATCGTTAATTTGCTTTTTAATACGTAATAATACTGTTGTATACCATTGATCCAATCTTGAAATTGAATCATATTCCTTTACGGCTTCTGTGTAAGCTTCAAGGTTCTGATCTTCCAAATGTTCTATCAGTGTCTGCAGATATATAATATATATAAATTATCAAGTCAAACATATAAGTATATATTTTATACATACACACAGGGTGAGGAAAAAGTATGGAAACTGTAAAATATCACGGAAAAAGTGGTATATAGAAAAAAAATATTAAATAAAAAGAAATAGGATTTACAGTGAGGCACTTGATGGCGATATTGACCTTGATCTAAAGGTCAAATTTAAAGGTCATTTCAAGGTCAACTTTATTTTTTTTAATAAAACCATCATATTTTTTACATAAATCGATTCCTCACAATAATTCTGCATAAAAAGTTAAGAGTAAGATAGTCAAAAAGTGATAGTTTACAAGATATTTTATACTTTAGTTTAATCTTATAAATTTTATATAAACTATGAAATATCTTGTAAAATATACATTTTCAATGATCTTACCTCAATACTTTTATGCATAAAAGAAAAGGAATCAGTTGGTGTAAAAAAAACATGTTTGTTTTTAAGAAAAATATGTAATTGCAACTAGCAGCTCCTCACCCTGTGTGTATATATATATATATATATATATATATATATATATATAAAATATTAATATATACATATAAAATATTAAGGAACAATTAAGTTAACACAGAAAAACATACCTTTATTAATTTATATTCTCTAGAATCTTGGAAAGCCGGATACTGTTCTTGATAACGCTCAATCGCATGTTGGGCATTTAATGAATCGACACACAAATGACACAATGCAGCACGAAAGAAATATTCCTTAGCACTATATTTTAGTAAAGAACTTTCTAATGATGCAGAAGCAACCTGTTAGATATAAAGTAGAAATAAAGTACAAGCATTTAAAATTAAAATTATCAAATTTCTAAAAACTAGGGACTATTTTTAATAATTCGTCGATATACTATAAATATTTCTAATTTTTACCTGCTCGTAGATCTGAATGGCTTTATCATAATTTTCAAGTTGAGCAGCGTACTGTGCAACTTTAAGGAGACACTTATTTGCCGAGGAATTACTCTCTTCACCACGGAAATAATCGGAGGCTTGCTCATAATGATGTACTGCACGTTCCAGATCAACTGCTTCGCTTTCATAGATCTCAGCTATACTCTGATGATGCTTTGCTGCCATTGTAAAACGGCCCATGTCGGTATAAATTTCGATGGCTTTTAACAAACAGCTAATCGCCTCTGTAAGAACAGAAATACGAATAATATAAGTTTTTATATTATTATACAACATTTACTTAAAAACTTTATTATTTACTTCATGTTCTTTACTTCACACTTTTTTAACTATATAAAATCATTCCTATGAAAATTATACCATTTGTATCAGATTTTTTGAAGCAATTGGCAGCATCTACATAATTATTAGCTGCATCATGACGACCACCAGCCTTTGCATGTAAATCTGCTGCGTCGTAAAATGCCTTTCCTGCTGAATTCCATTTCTTTGCCATCTTGAACAAGTTTGCTGCCCGTTGGTAACATTCTACCGCTTCTTCAATTTTTGATGAGCTTCTGCAGAATTCAACATCATTAATTCTCCTCAAAACACCAAGAATTCTTGTTTTACTTGCACATTATTTTTTATAAATATATATATATAATTTATACGTACACACATATATACATATACAATATATATAACATTATATATGTATGTATATATTTATCATTAGAAGTATATAATGTTATTATATTATAGATATATATATATATATATATATATATATTACATTTGTATATTACATATATATGTATGTATGTATGTGTATACATATCTAATCACACATGACATGATGAAAACTGAAACTAAATAATAATAATAATAAACGATTTTTCATCGAAATAAGAAATTTCTCGTAATATAGAATAATAGAACAATCGTATGAATGAAATCGCGAGGAGTGAAATTTACACACTCGGAACGAGATAAGTTTAAGTGATAAATCGATGAGCGACTTACCCGAACAGTGCGCCGAAGAAACTCTTGGACGATGACAGCTTCCTCTCGGCCTCCGCAACCAGCTGCAATGCCTTCTGCTCGTTGTCAGCCATGACGACGTTTCGTCGAAAATTCCCGTGGAATTTTTTCAGAAGTCCTGGTACATTAACCGCACGCGAGAAATTCCCAATCTCCAATATCACACTCGATTCTTTCTCTCGCGAGACGTCGCTAAACCAAAAGTGACGACGAATCGTCAATGCATGGAGTGGAACATCAGCACCAGTCAGGCTCGCCAATCTACAAGCGGAAACATATCTTGCCTAATGTCAAATAACGTATTGAATTTGCACCTGTGCATCGAGTTTGCATATTAAGATCTGTACATAGGAAAAAAAATAATAGAATATGTATACAATGAAAAATAGTAGGTTTTATTTAAGAAATTAAAGGTCAAGAAAATGATCTTTATGTGACCTTTAAATGATTATACAAAGTCAAATCAATGACACCATCTTATGTCCCTCTCGAACTCAAAAAGCTTTTATTTGAAACATTTTTTATATCTCTCATAGTTTTCCAAATATATATTTGCCTGGCTGAGTGATTAAAATATGAATCATTCTGTATGTATATATATATATATATATATATATATATATATATATATATATATATACATATATATAGCCATTTTGGGACCACGAAGTTATGTGTGTTGTTTGTCGTACGAAGTGTAAAGCGGAGAGCACACATTTTTGCATAAGCGTAAGCATAAGAATCTTGATTGGTCTATAAACGTATGCATAAAAAATTTAACCAATCGAATTTCTAATGCATATGCTTATGCGCTTATGCAAGAGTGTGTGCTCCCCGCTTTACCCTACAAGTAGCTTATTTTTGTTTCTTTTTTTACAACTTATCTGAAAAGAAACGAAAATATGCTACCTGTCAGGTAAAACTTACCAAAAAGTTGGAAAAATTGAACCTAAGTAAGGCCGATGGCAGAGAGTAAAGTGGGGAGCACACACTTTTGCATAGGCGCATAGGCGTAAACATGAGAATCTTGATTGGTCTATAAACGTATGCATTAGAAATTCAACCAATCGAATTTCTTATGCATATGCTTATGCGCTTATGCAAGAGTGTGTGCTCCCCACTTTATACATAAAATATCATAAAAGATACACAATTTTTCATGGTCTGCACTCCTTCGCTCCCTCTAGTCTTATATCTCTATAGTGCTACCCGCTTTAGAACTTACTACACTTATTGTAGACCCGGCTTTAGGCGAATACTCGACTGTGATTGGTCAATTTCTTAAAGCTTAGAGCTTAAATCACCTATTGTGGACCCACACTTATACTGTGGATAAACATTATTTTTACTACCAGACTACCGTTCTTATGAATTTATTTGCACTGATCGAATGTTGGTAGCATCGAGAGTGACTTTAATAATTTTTGAGTCACACGCGCACGCGAGCACTTTGTAGTTTATCGTAGCTTTTTTTCATTTTACATTTAGTCGAAACGTTGTTGAGCGCGAAACATGTCATTTCTATATAGACAGGAAATAAAATCGCTACAGGAAGAAATGCCAAACACTTTTATAATTGGCATAATTATGCACAGTGCAAACGTTCGAACGTTTACCGCCACTCGAACAAAATGTACGTATGTATATATATTCATAAAAAACATATAGTTTCTCCTTATTTTATTATCTTTTAGATATCTTTCAGACTAATCGCATGTATTATTTAATTGTATTTATTAATACAACAAAGAATTTATTAGAAATAAATCGGCCATCTTTTCTTATATATAAAAATTATCTTATATAAATTAATTATCTTATATATATCACATATATTTATATTAAAGAGAGTTGTTTATTGTATAATAATATGTATATTTTTTTTCATTTTCGAATATAAATAAGAAAAATATATTATATATTAAATTATTTATTAATCTATTTGTTTTGGTTAACTACAAAAATTGCATATGCTTATTATCTTCTTTTTTAACAATCCTACTTAATTATAGTAATGATCTTATTAGCAAATAAAAAAAATAAAAGATTTTGTTCTTTCAAAAAAGCCCATATATTTAATTAAATACAATATAATTATAATATAAAATAATTATTAGATCATTATATATATAATATACAAGAGCGTCCGGTGGGGAAGGGGGGGGCAAGATGGGGCATCTGCCCCCCACGCTCTCTAGAATTTGGAATCAGCAAAAAATTTGGCATTTACTCTTTCTTTGAATAAACGTGTTGGGATTTACTTGCACCGATTTCGATCCGATTCAGACGCGGTGAGAAAGCTTTTACCAGAAGGTATATATATTTTAACAATATAAATGTTGCCCCCCCTCCTGGAAAAAATTCTGCGGACGCCTTTGATAATATATATACATATATATATATATATATATATATATATATATATATATATATATATAATATATAAATATATTTTCTCTCTTTGTATAATCTGCATACGTACATATTCAAGGAAAATAGTAATAAAAAAATTAATTAACAAATAATTTGTTTGCATTATTTCTTTAAATGACATGTCAAAAAGTAAGAAAAAATCACTTATAATCATATACATTTTTTTTATTTCTTTTTATATAATTCAAAAATAATAATGCAAACGTTTTTCTTCTAATTTTTATCATAATTTTCAATTGTTTTTCTTTTATTTCTCTTCTATCCTTATACAGAAGCAATATCTATATCCAGAAATATATCCTTAAGGATATATTTCTGGATATAGATATTATACAAGTAAACAAAATATATATTTTATAAATATATTTTATATAAAATTCAAATTTATATAATAATATTAAAGTACTGAAGTAAGGCTCCTTATATTAATAAATAACATATTCGAAATAGAAAGCCTATTGGAGTCGAACGCGGATGTATATGCGTATTGACAGCGAAAATTTAATTTTTTAAAGTTTATATATATTTGAATCAAAATTGAATTTTTGGGCTTTTATTTTATCGATTATTACAGTTAATAATGGTGAACGTAGTGTATGGACATTTATTTTACGAGATACTGAAGAAGATTTTATTAATGTCACAGTGTGGGGAAGTACGGAATTCATAAAAAAATTATCATCTACTTTTAATATCGGATCTGTAGGTACGTAAATATAAATAAATAAATATGTATATACATATACATATATGGAACACTCCATACCAAATGGACAATTTTTTCCCGACTATTTTTGATTTACTTCTTTTTTTATCTTTTTGTATTTATTGAAAGAATATATAGCTTCCATAAATTTTTTTAGATTTTTATCTTTATTAATTTCCGAGTTATATATTTTTAAAAACATTTATTTTTTTGAATTTTAAAAATTTCAAATATTTATAACTTGAAGAAAAATAAATATATATATACATTAATAAAAAGGTCATTTTTTTACTTTGAATGTATTTTTCAAAGAAAATATTGAAATAATTAAAAAAAGAAAATTTAATGGTGTTTTAGTCAAATTTAACCAAAACTATTTTTTTATCTTTAATTTTATATATATATAGTATATATATTTTATTGATAAAGAGTAACTATAATAAAGAGTATAATTTTTGTATTTAAAAAATTTGCAAAAATATAAAATATATATATTTATATATATATATATATATATATATATATATATATATATATATATATATATATATATATACATATATATTTTATATATATTTTTGCAAATTTTTTAAATACAAAAATTATACTCTTTATTATAGAAATTTTAAAATGGCTGTGTCGGTTTTTACAGATAAAATAGAATCGTGATAAATATATATTTTTGTATTAAAAAAAAATTAAGAATCTTAATGAGAAATTTGTTTTATAGTGGAAGTAATAAGCGCGAGAATTATAAAACGCCAGCCTAATGATAGAAATGAGCAATTCGTACCATCAACTTCTAGTCCTTTCGCTCTAATTGTGAACGAAGGTACAGCTCTCATACATAATCACGATGCACCTACTCGTGAACAATATAAAAATTTGCTGACGCGACCTATCAAAAGAGTGACCTCCGCGAAAAATTTGAAAGACATTCTAGATAACATCGAGGCTTTGTGTGATCGCTTAGTTGATCTTCTTGTTGTTGTCACGTTTGTAAGTTATGAAAAACAATAAGTATGTATATACGCATACTATATATATATATAAAATATTGAATTTTTAATTATTGTTAGCGTTCCTCAAAATAATAAAAAAATAATTTATTTAATTAATAATTATAATTTTTAATTGTATACATATTCATAATAAATATATACATATTTATAATATACATAATATATATATATATATATATATATATATATATATATATATAATATGTATATAGATAATAATAATAATAATATTCAAACATATAATAAATGTTAATAATAATTATAATATATATATAGCAGAGTTGAGTAAATAAATGATTTTTTAAAGTAAGTTAAGTTAAAGTTAGTTGCTTACAAAGTAAATTTAATTAAGTTAAAAATTGCATGAACAAAAAAGTAACTCACTTAAAGTTAAGTAAAGATTAAATTAACTGAAGTTAAATCATGCAAAAGTTAACTTTTAAAAACATTATTTATATTAAATTAGAATTTTGTTTGTTAATTCTTTCAAAATTTATAATAACAAATAACAAAGAAATATTAATTTTTATATAGAAATGCATTTTTTGATCATTACAATTGATGATAAATAATGAACATAAAAATTAATAATACTTTAATTTAAACATAATATTTTGACTTATAAAAAAACAATAATGGTATTCAGAGATTTAAAAAATTTAACTGAGGAAAAAAATTAATAAGTTATTATAAGGTCAAAAATAACTAGTTTTAAAACTAAAATTAATACATTTTAAATTAACTAACAATAAGCTAAGTTAAAAGTTATTAACTTTTTAACTTTTTTTTAACTTTTAACTAATAATTAACTATACCCAACCCTGATATACAGGGTGTCCGATAATTCGCGACCCATCTTTCATGGGCAGATAGAGCATGTCAAACTGAATAAAAAAGTCCTGTATCATTTTGAATACTTATTTACAATAATTATTGAGTTTATTAAAATATTTAAGCGAATAAGCGGGTGGAAAGCATTATCTGATCGAAAGGCGGCATCATGCAGCGAACAGCAAGCGATGCCGAAAAGTAAGAATAAGATGATACAAATAATAATCCTTAAGGTTCGCCAGTAATAATTAATAAAAATCTCTCCTCAAAGTTAAAAGTCGACCAGACTGGCAATCATTTATTATAAATAATTAGTTGAAATACAACGTTTCGGCTGTCATTGCAGCCCTTTTCAAGTAAATCAAATTAATACAGTAAATCAAATTCACTGCAAACCACCGACAATATTAACCATTGTTTTGATGAACAATGTAAAACTGACAGAAGTAAGCAAGAAATAAATAGATATTAACTGTTAGCAAAAATCTTAGTCACTAAGGTGGTAGTTAACATCTATTTATTTATAACAGTTAACATCTATTTATTTCTTGGTTACTTCTGTCAGTTTTACATTGTTCATCAAAACAATGGTTAATATTGTCGGTGGTTTGCAGTGAATTTGATTTACTGTATTAATTTGATTTACTTGAAAAGGGCTGCAATGACAGCCGAAACGTTGTATTTCAACTAATTATTTATAATAAATGATTGCCAGTCTGGTCGACTTTTAACTTTGAGGATAAGATGATACGTTTGATACTCAGCAACATATAACAAATAAGCCATCCGGCATGTCCACCGAGTCCGGCCTACCGCTTTCCATCCACTCATTCGTTTTTAGCACACACACACAAAATGGTATAAGACTTTTCTATTCAGTTTAATGTGCTTTACCTGCCCACGAAAGGTGATCCGCGAATTATCAGACACCCTGTATTTATAGTATTAAATAAACTCCAAAAATTTTTCAATACTGTTTTGATATCAATTTTTTGATATCAATCTTTCAATAAAATTTATTCGTTTTTGTACTCATATATATAATAAATATTAATTTATTATTTTTATTGATTGAATATATTGTATAGATTGGCGATACACGTAATATAATAACTCGAAACGGACAAGCTTTAACATGTCGCAATTTCGAAGTTACGGATGAATCGATGGATAATAATATGGTATCGTTGATATTATGGGACAAGGATTGGGTGGAAAGATCTGCTTTTTGGGAACCGAAACAGACAATATTATTCTTGGTTGATGCTCGCATCGCATACGATAATTATAAAAAAAAAATGGCCTTAAGTATTTGTATGTTGAAAATCTCACACATTTCAATATTTTTACTATATATAATATATTAATTATACATATACATACAATCTTCTAAAACATATATATGTATATACTATATATATATATATTAGATTATTATATAAAAAATCGTAATTTCAAATATACATTTAGGATAAGATTTACCATAATTTTAAATTAAAATTTAGTGTAAAATAAAAATTATTATATGTCAATAATTATTATAAAAAAGAAATTTCTTTTCTATTGAAATTTCTTTATTTATTCTAGAATAAATGTTTTTTTATTTTAGAATAAAATTACTTTCTTTTTTAACTTTTTGGAAATTTGATTTTATAAAATGTTAATATTAAATAATTTACAGTGGTGGTTCGTACGATCCGAAGAATAATACGTTTTTATATATTATATTTAGAACAATGATATTAAATTGGCAATAAGAGTCAAACGCAGATATCAGTGCGCAAAACAAATTTACTCTTTATTCAAATTTCCGAACGTTTCGACTATTTTTTGTGGTTATCTTCAGCGTACAATAAAAAACGAGTTACATTCTTAACAGCATAAATTCATGATTTCAACGCAAGTTGTATGAAAAAACTACGTATTATCACTAACAATCATAAAACACGGAGTCAATAATTATAAAAAACTGGTCGTAAAACAGACACCGCGCAACCCAGGTAACAATAAGCTGACGTCATAAACGACAAAATGACGTCATTTTAACGTCAATAACGTCATTTTAACGTCAGCTTGTTACCTGGGAACGTATGAGTCCGTACATTAAAAGTCGCAGTTGCATAGTCATTAATTTTTTATTATTAATATTCAGCTGTCGTATTCGCAACTATATATATATCGTCCAAAAACTATCTCCAAGTATAACATCTTGAGGTTGATAGATCAACAAGTCAACAGACAATCTTCGGATCTAGTAATAATTCTCAAATGCATTGACAAAATACCAAACACCAACAACAGTTTACTCACATTCTAAGGTCGCTAATGACAGCTAATGATGACTGCATCCTAAATACATGATTTTAAACAGGATCGAACGCAAAACAGTAGACGAAAATTTTAACATATTCAAGCATGGTAAATAGATCTGACATCTTTGACATAGACATTGACAAATTAAACAGTACGAATGTTTGTGCGGTAATCAAACAATTGTTTATATCCTGTATTCACTGTTTTGTCTATCAAGGACGCTAAACATTTTTTAGTCTTTCAATAGTCGAAAAATAAATATCCGGTAAACCAAGAGAACATTTGAGAATTATTACTAGATCCGAAGATTGTCTGTTGGCTTGTTGGTCTATCAACCTCAAAACCAACGCGAAGATGTTATATTTGGAGATGGTTTTTGGACGATATATGTTGTGAATACGACAGCTGAATATTAATAATAAAAAATTAACGACTATGGGACTGCGACTTTTAATGTACGAACTCTTACTTTGCACAGTGTCTGTTTTGCGACAGCTTTTTATAATTATTGACTCCGTGTCTTATAATTGTTAGTGATACGTAGTTTTTTCATACAACTTTTGCGTTGCAATCATGAATTTACGCCGTTAAAAATGTAACTTGTTTTTTATTGTACGCTGAAGATGACCCAAAAAATAGTCGAAATGTTCGAAAATTTGAATAAAGAATAAATTTGTTTTGCGCACTGATATCTGCGTTTGACTCTTATTGCCAATTTAATATACCATTGTTTTAAATTAAAAAAGTCATAGTCTATTATTTATATTTATATATTATATTTAGATTTTTTAAATAAATATATTAATAATATGTATGTATGTATGTATATATATATATATATATATATATATATATTGATTAATATATACATGTATATATATATATATATATATATATATATATATACATACATACACATACATATTATTAATATATTTATTTAAAAAATCTAAATATAATATATAAATATAAATAATAGACTATGACTTTTTTTAATTTAAAACAATGGTATATTAAATTGGCAATGAGAGTCAAACGCAGATATCAGTGCGCAAAACAAATTTATTCTTTATTCAAATTTTCGAACATTTCGACCATTTTTTGGGTCATCTTCAGCGTACAATAAAAAACAAGTTACATTTTTAACGGCGTAAATTCATGATTGCAACGCAAAAGTATATATATATATATATATATATATATATATATATATATATATATACATGTATATATATTAATCAAATATATATATATATATATATATATATGGTATATATATATATATATATATATTAATCAAATTTTAATTCTTACTTAAAAATGTTTTTTTTTAGAATAAAAATAAATTTTTTTTAATTTGGAAAACTGATTATGCGAATTAAACCACGGCCTGTTATATTAATATTAAATATTAATATTTAATTATAATTATAAATTTATTTAAATTTGTTAAATTTGTTAATATTAAATATAATTCATTTCCTAAACATATTCGCAGAATAATATACGTTTATAAATTTAGTGCAATCATTCGAATACTTTCACAAAACACTGCAAAAATGTTATTACATTTGCAATATTATTGTTTTTATTGTTTGCAGCAAGAAAGACGCTAATTACAGAATGCCCGGATATACCTGAAGCCGCAAACATTATAAATGCGATACAGCATTATGATCCTGATTCCATATGCAATGACTCATTCATTATACCAAATCGTAAGAACAATAATCAATTTATACCGTTTAATATAAAGATAAGTGCACAATATTTTAAGAGTTTAACAAGGCTCTGTAATATAAATATAAATTTAAAGTATAAGACAGGCAATAAAAAAGAGCCAAATCGCGGATGACAGTGCGTTATCCCAACGAAACTAAAATTTTTTCCGTTAGAATTAAATACCTGTGCACAAAACACCAAATTTTACACAATATTTTTTTTATATACAGGGTGTCCCATAGAAAATTGCTGAAACTAATCAGCTGTTATTTATAAAGGCATGCAATTATTGAGAGAACAAAAATTGTGTTGAGAGAATGAAAGTCTACATTTTTTAATAGATATAAATAAAATATATGTATACCAGTTATCTATTTTTGATAAAAATAATGAAAAAAGTGCTAATAATAACATATGTAAACTATATAATGATTATTTTCGAAGTGCGCACTATTATTTGAATTTATTCAAAATTCTGTTCTTTTACAAGAACTCATAAAAACATTTTCTAATATACATGTATGTCATTTTTAATATTATTGACAATCCTTTAAATCTGGCACTGTTGAAAATATTTATCATTATACCTAGTTTATGTGATTTTATGTGATTATATTAGCATTTTTTCATTACTTTTTATCAATAAAATAAACGCATACAAACATTTTATTTATATCCATTAAAAACTGCAGACTTTCATCTTCTTTCCAACACAATTTTTGTGCTCTCAATATTGCATACAGCTGATTAGTTTCACCAATTTCCTATGGGACACCATGTAGATATACATATATATATAGTATCATTTAAAATCTTATTATTAATTAATATATAATATATTATTATATGTATTCCTTTTAATATAATGTGTATTTTAAAAATCGTCATAATCAAATGTAAAATATATCTCAATTAATCTATTATGTCTACATAAATCATTTAAACATTATACATTTAAGAAGTGTATATATAATATACATATATATAATAGTAAAATTGTAAAAAATGGATTTTTTTCTTTTCTATATTTATGGAATTATATATAGAATTTCAGTGCAATTAAAAATACGTATATTTTATTTTATATTAAAGCAAACACCATCACAACCGTAATGACAATACAACAAATCACGGAAAAGTTACAGAAAATAAAGGTGAATAATACGAAAAGCGAGAGATTACAATTCGCAACAATTGTAAATAAGGCTTCGGTGACTGATATAAATTTGGATGGTTCGCTCAAAGATGTAATTTCTATAAAATGGTGCACATATATTTCTCGCATTTAGAATCAAAAACAGTAATAAAAAAGTCAACGATTTTTATTGTTATTATTGATTTTTACACACATTTTTATACTTGCATTTTTAGCGCTCTGTGTAAAAAGATTGTCTTGAATGTGAAAGAGTCTTGTATGAACCTGAATTGCCCATCGGGCAACGGAAGCCAAGCGCCGCTAAACACTGTAAAGTTTAACATAAAAGTTAATTTGAAGGATGACACTGGATATCTTATAGGATGTCGTTTGACCGGGGATATCGCAGAGCGAGTTATGGGGTGTACAGCCGAGGAATTTCAGGTAATCTAAATAAAATTAAGGCTTCTATACAGATTCTCGCCTCGGCCATTTTGTGACGTCAGAAAGATATCAGATAAAGCACACGCTGAAAATTCTTAAATGCCATTTTTAAATGAAAAATAATTAAAAATTATAAATTTTATACAAATAATATATGTATATATATATACAATATATATATACAATTGAAAATTATTATTTTTTTACATTAATATAATATATATTTGTACTATATGTAATTTTAATTCTCGAATTTCTACCATATATACATAATTTTAATTCGCCGAAATTTTATTATGTACATAATTTTAATTCTATATTTTCACTATGCACATAATTTTAATTCGCCGAATTTCCGTAATGTACATAATTTTAATTCACCGAATTTCTATTATGTACATAATTTCTATTATGTAAATAAATTAATTCTCTTATTTCTATTATGTACACAATTTTTATTCGTGAATTTCTATTATGTTCATAATTTTAATTTGTCGAATTTCTATTATGTACATAATTTTAATTTTCGAATTTTTATTATGTACATAATTTTAATTCCCAAATTTCTATTATATACATAATTATAATTCATTGAATTTGTAATTTCTATTAAATACATTATTTTAATTTACCATATTTCTTTTATGTAAATAATTTTAATTCGCTGAATTTCTATTATGTATATAATTATATTCTTGAATTTTTATTGTGTACCTAATTTTAATTCATGAATTTCTATTATGTTTTAAATTTTTATTCGCCGAATTTCTACTATGTACAATACATATATAAGTATTCTTGAATTTCTATTATGCGTTATAATTTCTATTATATATACATAATTTTAATTCGCCGAAATTTCATTATGTACATAATTTTAATTCTATATTTTCACTATGTACATAATTTTAAATCAAAATTGTACCTAATAGAAATTCAACTGGCCGAATTTCTATTAGGTACAATTTCAGTTATTTACATAATGGAAATACGGCGAATTAAAATTATGTGCATAATAAAAATTCAAGAATTAAAATTATATATAAGTACATAATGAAAAATCAAAAATTAAAATTTTATGAATAATAAAAATTCAGCAAATTAAAATTAAATTTATAATAGAAATTCAACGAATTAAAAGTATGTATATGTATAATAGAAATTCGGGAATTAGAGAGTTATATGTATATAATTGAAATTCGGCTAATTAAAATGATGTACACTTGCAGAGCAAAAATTTGTTTGGCGCGCGCAAAGCGCGCACTTGTGTTATCTAATATTCAATATAATTTTCAAATGTGAACAGATTTAATAATACTATGATTTGCACACAAATAAAGTTTACAGAAACTACATTTATGAAATGAAACATTTTCACAATTATAAATGTTTCGCGAAATTTAAACAAAATTGTGAAAATGTTTGGGATTTAGCCGACAGTTTTTGCTTTATGTAACCAGCTTTATACCACGCGTAAATTCTTAAAGGTAAACTTCAGGTCTGTAAACTTATTCATTTGTGTGCAAATCATAGTATTATTGAATCTGTTTACATTTGTGAAAATATATTGAATAGTATTATTATATTCGTTGCAATTATTAGATTTCAAAAAATTATAGTTATACAATTGTAAGAAAAAAGAAAAAATATATATAAAACAAATGCTACAAAAAAATATATAAATATTTTTAAAAAATTATTTAGAAAATACTTAAAAATCGCTCAAAACTGCTTAATGCGGTAAAAAAAATTAATAAACTATTATTTAATGTTGTTCTATTTGTGTGCAGTTTCATCAAAATCGAATAGATTTATTCATAAAAAGTAAACTGGTTTAAACACGTGAAAAATCGTATATATTTGCGCAAAATTGAAAATTTCAAAAGAAATGAAAAAATCAATTTGAGCTAAAACAACGACAGATTTCTTCATACTTTGACATCAGAAATAACTGTACAAAATTTAAAAAAAATCGGAGTTTGACGTTCCCCGAGGTTTACTTGTAAGAATTTTTATATAGTGTGTGTTTCTCTCGCCTCTGATGTCACAATTTCAACATGATTGATAAGAATCCAGGATAAATCTTATTTTAATGTAAAAAATAATAATTTTCAACTATACAAATTTTTGTAAAAATATTTTTTATTTCTTTTTATTTTTTATTTATAAAACCAATAAAATAATGAAAACAATTGATAATTTAAAAAATCAAGACACATGTAAAATAACTATTCATAATAATTCAATTCAATTCAATTCTTTATTCGTCCCCTAAGGGATTGAAGGCGCTTTTGAAGGAGCGTTCCCCAACCTTACAACCTCTTACAATGTTACTTATATCTACTCTTAACTCTACTCTTACATCTAATTTACAAATAACTTAATTCTACCTTAACCTACTTATCTACTACTTTAGAGAGAGAAAGAGCCGTCCCTACCTATCGTTTCGCTTCGGCTTCCGATTCCCCATACATTCTCCACCACCTCATTCATACCTCACTCATTCTCCTCCTCATCCTTCCTTCCTCCTTTTCCCCTCCCTCCCTCCTTTCTTCCGTTCTCCCCTCTTCCCTCTTTTTCTCTATTTCTCTCATCCATCCTTCCCCTTCTCCTCCTTCCTGCAGTATTTCCTTCATTCTTTCCCACCAGTTTCCCTTCCCCCCTTCTCCCCCACATTCTCCTATCACATGCTCCCATGTTTCATTTTCTATCCCGCATAACCTACACCTTCTTTTCCCCTCTTCTTCCCAGTATCTCGCCCCCCTCATCTCATTGTTCATTCTGAACCTGATTATCCTTCTCCATCTACTTTCCCCCCATCCCTTTCTCAGGTATTCCGGTAAACCCTCCTCCTTCCATTCCCCATACCATCTATTATATCTCGACTCTCTTATCCTCTCCCACCTTTCCTCCTTCTGCCTTTCCCTGTCTTTCTGTTCCCACCCCTCATATACTTCCTCTCCTCTTCCCCTTTTTTCCTCCATCTCTTTCCCCTCTATTCCTCTTTCTTCCCAGAATTTCCCCCTCTCTTCCTCCCACATCGTTCTTTCCTTTCCTCCCCTTATCCTCTCTTTCATATCCTCAAAACATTTCCTCGCTAAACTTCCTCCCCTCCCTTCCTCCAACTTCCTCTCATACCCTACCGCCCTCCTTCCTGCCCTTATCCTAAATTTGTCTTTTCCTATCTCCTCTCTTACCATATACCCCGGCGTGCACCAGTCTACTCCTAACGTCCACCTAATCCATCGCTCCTGCATTGCCTCCACCTCTCTCCTCTCCTTCCATCCCCATATTTCCGCCCCATATTCCAACACCGTCCCCACCAACCTTTCCATTAGCCATACTCTTTTCATCCAGTCTCCTGCAAACCTTCTCTTTCCCATTCCCCACACCTGTCTTATCACCGCTCCTGCTTTCCTAACTCTGTTCTTTACCTGCGCCTCCTGCCCCCCGTTCCTCTGTAGCTTATACCCTAAATATGTGAATTCTTTCACTTCCTCTAACCTTTTTCCTTTCCATCTCCACTCCACTCTCTTCATTCTTCCTCCTCCCTTTTTAAACCTCATTACCTTTGTCTTATCCACATTCACCTCTAACCTTTTCTTGTCCATATAACTTTCCATTTTCCCCAACATATGTATCATCCCTTCTTCATCCTCCGCCAACAGTACCATATCATCTGCGTACGCCAAACAATGCACCTTTTCCCCTCCCAGTTTCACCCCCCCCCCCCAACCTCCTTTTCTTAGCACTTCCTCTATATCCGCTATCAGCAAACTGAATAAGTGCGGACTCATTGGGCAACCTTGCCTCACCCCCCTTGCCGTCCAAAAATTTCCTCCCTCCTCCTTCCCCACTCTTACCTTACTCCTCGTTTCCCTGTACACCTCTTCTATCCTACTCCTTAATCCCTCCCTCACTCCCCTCCTCTTCATTGCCTCCATTAACACCTCCCTATCTACCGAATCAAACGCCGCCTTCAGGTCCATAAATGCCGCGACTACCTTTCCCCCCTTCTTGTTTACCCTCTTATTCACCAGATAGTTCAACACATAGATACTATCCATCACCCCCATTCCCTTCCTAAAACCTGTCTGACTCTCCGGTATCATATTCTTCCCCTCCATTTCTTCCTTTAACCTTTCAGTTAAAATCCCCACGTATATCTTGTATAGCGTTGGCATCAATGTTACTCCTCTATAGTTTTCCACTTTATTCCCCGTTCCCTTTTTCAACAGTGGCACTATTATCCCTTCTTTCCACCTCTCCGGCCATCCTTCTCCTCTCCATACTCTGTTGCACATTTCCCATACCCACTCTTCTACCCTCTCCCCTCCATATTTCCATACCTCACTTGGTACCCCATCCTCCCCCGCTGCTTTTCCTTTCTTCAGTTTTCCCAGCATCCTCTTCACTTCCTCCCTGCTTATCTCCTGCTCCTCATCCCTCTCCCTTTTTTCTTTTCCTCCTCTTACCACTTTTACCTCTATCCCTCCCAATAAATCCATAAAGTATTCCTTCCATTCCTCCGCCTTTATCTCCTCATTCACCCCTTCTCTCTTTTTCCTTTCCCTGTTAATAATCTTCCATACCTCTCCTTCCGTTCTTGCCTCTATCGCCTCCTTGTACCATCTTAGCCTCTCCTCCTCCCTTTTCTCTTTACACATTAGCTTATATTCCGCCCTTACTTTTCTATATCCTTCTCCTCCTCCTCCTTTTTTCCTCCTCCATTCCCTTAACTTTTTCCTCACTTCTTTCCTCTTCTCCTCACATTCCTCGTCCCACCACCCTTTCCTTTTCCCTTCTCCACTCTCTTTTTCTCCTTCTCTCAATTCCTCTTCTATTCTTCCTATTTTTTCCTCTAGCTCCTCTTCAATCCCCTCCTTCCACCCCTCTCCCCACTCTATTTCCTCTCTTATTCTTTCTCCTCCCCTCTTTGTCCATCTCCCTCTTTTTCTTATTCCTTTTCCCTCCCCCCTTTTTCCCTTTTCAGCCCCTCCTCTTCTTTCTAGCGTTACAATCAATGGGTGATGGTCCGATTCTATGTTATCTCCCACCTCCATTCTCTTTATCCTTTCCTTTACTCTATCCTCTCCCACCACGTAATCTATTACCGATTCCCCTCTTCCTCCTGTATATGTGTACTCCCCCTTCCTATCCCCTCTTATCCCTCCGTTAAAAATTCCCCATCCCACCTCTTCCAACTCCTTTATCAACTTCTTCCCTTCCTCATTAACTTTCTTGTCCTTTGATCTTCTTTCTTCTTCCTCCTCCCCTCCTATCACCCCCCCCTTTCTACCTGTCCTTGCGTTGAAATCTCCTCCCACAATCGTCCATTTATTTTCTTCTTTCTCTTCCATCCATTCCTTCATTTCCTCCAATTTCCTTTCCATGTCCCCGTTGATGTATACGCCTATTACCCTCCACTTCTCTCTTCCTACTTCTAAATCCGCCATCATTATTCCCTCCGCCTTTTCTCCCATTCCTGATACTTTTATCTTTCCCCTCTCCTCCCTTACCCCCATGATCATTCCCCCCATCGGTCTTCCTTTCTTCTTTCTCTTCTTTGCTGCTTGCTTCTCCCATCTATATCCTTTCGGTAACCTCTTTTTAATCGCCTCCCACCCCCTTTCCTCTATCCATGTTTCCATCATCACCACCACCTCCCAATCTTCTATTTCCTTCCAGAACTTTTCTTCCTTATTCTTCAGCCCTGCCACATTCCAAAAACCTATCTTCCATTCTTCTCTTACTTCCCCTCCTTTTTCCTTTCTCTCCTGTTCCTTTCTCCTTCCTTCCTCCGTCCCCCTTTCTCCTTCCTCCTTTCTCTTCTTACTATTGTTCTCCCCCTCCTCCTTTCCTCCTTTCTTCTCTTCTCCCTTCTTCTATCCCTTTTTTTCCTCCATTCCTGTCTTCATACCCCCTTCTTCCCCCCTCATTTTCTCTATACCTTCTCTAATTTCTCCTTTCCAATTTTTTAGCACACCTTCCTCCTCTTCCCATTTCCACCATACATCATTGATTTTTATCCTTCCATAGCTCGTCCATACATTGTTTCCTTTCCTCCTTTCTATCTCCGCGATCTCCATTAGTCTCCATTTTATCTTTCTCTCTTCCCATGTTAAATCATCTTCTATTCTCACCCTCTTTCCTCTTAATATCTTCTTCCTCTCCATTACCTGTCTTTTCTGTTCTCCACTTCCTAATTTTACTACCACCATTTCACCTTCCTTTCCCTCCTTTCCTTTCAACATCCTTATCCATTCTATCTCTGCTTTCGCTCCTATCTCTTTCATTAATTTCTCTACTCTTTCCTTTACACCTTCCTTCCCTTTCTCCATTCTTTTTATTACTATGTTGTTTCTTCTCTCTTCTCTTTCCTTCCATTCTAATTTCTTTCCTATGTCCTTCACTTTTCCTATTATTGTCTCGTTTATCCCCTTACTCCCTCCTTCGCCCCCCTCTCTTTCTCTTACCTCCTTTCTTCCTCTCTTTCCTCTACTCTTGCTTCCAAATCTATCACTCTCTTCTCCAGGCTCTCTATCTCTTTTCTCAATTCTCTTCTTTCTTCTCTCCATTCCCCCTCCTTTTTCCAAATTTCTATCTTCAATTTTCTCATTTCCTCGCCTAACTTCTCTGTTATCTTCTCCCCTATCTCTTCCATCATTCTCCTTAACTCCTCCTTTTCTATCCCCCCTATCTCTCTATTCAGCCTTTCTGTCTTCTTGCTCCTTCTTAGGCTTCTTTCCTTTTCTTCTTCCTTATCCTCCTCTCCCCCTTCTTCTCTTTTCCTTTTCAAAAAATCCTCTATACATCCCATACTGCTCCTCCTCTCCTTCCCTAACTCCTCTACTCTTCTCGGCCTCCCTGCCTTCTTTTTTATTTCTTCCTCATCTCCCTTTTTTCCCCCTTCCTCTAACATCCTATCTCTATTGATCTCTATCCTCCTATCTCTAATATTCTCTTCATTAATCATTTCCCTCTTATCGCTTTCTTTCTTCGATTCACCTACTCTATGCTCCAACTCGCTCCAACTCGCTAGTGAATTCCCTAGTGAACTATTCATAATAATAAACATAATATATATTTAATAATTATTATTATATATTTAGAAAAACATTTTAATTTTCTGAATTTGATAAATAGGTATTTTAGATGTAAAATTGCTTTAAATATAAAAGACAATTAATTGTAATTGTTATAGGCAATGACGATAGAAATCGCACCAAATTGAAATGGTTATATTTATTAGAAGTCTACTACCGTTCGCCTACATATTCTCGGACCGACTTCAACTTTTCCATATGTTCTGTACAACATTTTATCTATTCAGCATTGCCTCGATGAAATTTATGCAAACGAGCAAATTACTATGCCTAAGAATTAAAAATTAATCTCTTTTCTTTAGTTACTTTTATATTTTGAACAAATCATTATGATAATTTGCTCAAATTTTGTTATAAAGGTTTGACATTGTTATAAAGATCACGACAGATTACTACGTATGTTTGTTTTACATACATAAAATTATTATGAACATAATTTTCATTACTTTATTTATTCACTTATTTACTTGTTTAACTATTTATAATATTATTTTTATGTTTTATATTTATCATATTTAAATATCATAATAAATTAATAAATAGTAATTATAGCCAGATATGATTAACGAAATTATTACCATCAATAATAAATTAAATTTATATTTATTTATTTTTTTATTTGTATTTATTTGTATTTGTTTATTCAGTTTCGACGAAACATGAGCAAACTATAACTATGTTGGAAAATTAAAAACTAATAATTTTCTTTCTTTAGTTGCTTCTATTTGATAAAAACGATTCATTATAATTTGTTATAAAGATCACATTAATATATTAGACTTTTGTAGACTTTTATATATATAAGAATATTAAGAATATAATTTTCATTACTTCATTTGTTCACTTATTTAATATACGTATATTATTTTTTATGTAAATTTTTATATATGTTTATCGTTCAAATAACAAATTAAATTTATATATTAAATATATATATATATATATATATATATGTGTGTGTAAAAGTTAAATAAAATTATAAATAAATTGTAATTTTTCAAAAAGAATAGTTTTGTAATTTTTTTAACCAATTCACCTAATATGCAAACTTCTAAAAATTTAATCACAATTTTCTGCCAAAGATAAAGTTATACAAACAGATATTATTCATATTAAATTATAACTAATAACATTTATATGATTTTTTTATTTTAATGAGTCAAAGTTTACTAATATATCTTGACATAACAAAATTCTTTTTATTATAACAAATTTTATTGGCCTAATAATACCAAGTTTTTTTTTTAATATTTAATTAAAACTATGATTTCTATTAATGTACATACAACGTGTACATGATTTTATATTTTAGAAAAATATATCTTCTTTAAAAATAATTTTTAAGATTCACAACATAAAATAAATCATATTAAACATAAATATTCAAAAATATACAATTATATATTTATCATTTTTAATATTAAAACATTAAAGAATAAAAGAATAAATTTTATAACATATTTCTTATTATTAATTGAGCAATTAATAATATCATTTATTTTATGCTTATATTACAAACTTTTTTAACAAATGCATGGATTTGGTACTATTTTTAAATATTTTTTAAAAGAATAATTTTTTATGTTTAAACAATATCAACAAAAAATATTAATTAATAAATAGCGAATTTGATTATATTGTTTAGCTAATTTTATTTTCAATATTTAAAAATTTTGTTGTATAATTTTTTGTTAAAGAAATAAAACTCTAAAAAAGATGATACATTATAATTGCATATAAAAAATATGATCTTATTTACATTATATTTATAAAGCATTTTCAATCTTTATATATATAGCCTCTCATTTTGAATATGTTTTATACCGATATTGCACATCTAAAACCTAAATTTCCAGCTGATGTATCAGGTGTATTTTGACTACGTGCGGCACACCTATATCTGTGGCAATAACTTTTGTGACAAAGATAAGAACCACCTTTTTTTACTTTATTATTACCACTAGGTGGACCAATCTGAAAATATAATAAAAATAATTATAATACAAGACATAATATAGTCAATAATATACTCAATATATAAGGTGTTTCTAAAACATGTCAAAGATTTTAAAGGCATATTTTAGAGGTCGAAGTAAGAAAAAAAATTCCTTATAAACATGGGTCCAAAAATTTTTCACTTATCTAGGGGCTATAACTCATTGTCAGAGGGAAAGCATTTTTGAACACATATTTATCAAGGAACTTATTTTCTTGTTTTTATTCCTAGAAAACCCTTAAAATCTGACAGTTTTAGAAACATCCCATATATACACATATATTTTATTACACTAAATTCATAATAAATCCTTTTATATATAGGATGGGCCAAAAGTACCGGGACCCTTGAATATTTCGAAAACTAAGCATTGTAGAAAAAAATGTTTCCAATAAAACTTGAAAGAGTTCCAAATAAGGCGTTTATTGGTGACCTCAACTTTGACCTAGGGATCATTTCAAAGTCTACTTAATTTTTTTTTAATAGAATCCTTTATTTTTTTTATTACATATTCTTGTAGCTTATCTCAAGAGCTTTCCAAAACCTTATAATAAAGTATTTTTTCATGGAATACTCTTTGAGTTATATAAAGTTTGAAACTAACAATTTTTTTTACATAAAATGTAAAATATCTTGCAAAATATTTAGTTTTCAGTAATCATACCTTAATACTTTTATGCACGAAATAATAAGACCAATCAATTGGTGTAAAGAAAACACATAATTGCTTTCAAAAAGATATATTGCAAATTGCATACATTCTTTTTAAAGCAACTGTGTTTTCTTTACATTGATTAATTGGTCTCATTATTCTGTGCATAAAAGTATTAAGATATGATTACCAAAAACTAAATATTTTTCAAGATATTTTACATTTTATGTCAAAAAATTGTTAGCTTTAAACCTTTATAATTCAAAGAGTACTCCATGAAAAAATGTTTTATTATAGTGTTTTGGAAAGATCTCGACATCAGCTACAAGAATATATAATAAAAAATAGGGGGTTTAACATTCTAATGTTGACCTTTACCGGGTTTTTCGAGATAATTTCAAGGTCAAACAGATGTTATCACCTAATAGTTTGTTTGTGCTATAATTCTTTTGTTTAAAACTTTTTTTTATAAAGTCAATATTTTCTTAGATATTTTGCAGTTCCGGAACATTTGCCCCTTCGTGTATATATAGAATCTTTATATTAATTACAGGATTTGTTTGTCGATCACTGGAATGTCTTATCGCCCACCAATCGGCTGTCCACTCCCAAACATTTCCAACAATATTATGTAAATCATATTTATTTTGTGAAAACATCGTAACTGGCGATGTGCCTTTGTACCCATCTTCTTCAGTATTTTCTATAGGAAAATTGCCTTGCCAAATATTGGTCCTATAAAAGACAAATTTTTATCATATAATAATATAACAAAAACTGTATACATTTGCAATTACACATGTAAATCATATTTATAAATAGACATGTATATATATGTGTGTATGTGTATGTGTGTGTGTATGTGTGCGTGTGTGTGTGCGTGTGTGTGTGTGTGTGTGCGTGTGCGTGTGTGTGTGCGTGTGCGTGTGCGCGCGTGTGTGTGTGTGTGTGTGTATAAGATTACCTATGCTGATTATTTGGTATCAATTTATTTCCCCAAGGATAGAGTCTATCAGAAAGTCCACCACAGCATGCAACTTCCCACTCTGCTTCAGTTGGTAATCTCTTTCCCATCCAATTGCAATAAGCATTTGCATCATGCCAGGAAACATGAATAACAGGATGATCCATTCTGCCTAAATATTTTCTAATTAATCCCAGATTAATAAAGAGATAGCTTTATGAGCAAAATTCAAAGAACCTTCCACTAATCTTTTGTGAAATTGGATCTACATAAAAGCACCTGGTTTTCTCATATTATTATAAATTTATAACAATTCATATGTTATTTCAGTACACTTGAAAAGGACCAAAATTATGATCAAAACCTTGTGAGATTTATTAAATAAAGAATTGCCAGTATTGGTCGAGAAATATTTATTCCTTTTATAACAATTTGCCCAAGTTTTTGATCAAATGTTTGACTGGTTGTGAGTCAATAACTGTCCATTATTTTATTTTTATTACATATTTGTTCATTAGATTGTAAGCATGCATATATGAAGAAATCAGTTAGATTTCCTTTCACCAAGATCCAATTTCATATATACAATTAGTGCGAAGTTCTTCTCTTCTTTTACCCTTACAAGTAATATTTGAATCGTTGCCTTCTGGATGTTGCCAAGAAGCTCCTTTCACAGGAACCCACCAAGGAGCCTGCGCAACTGCATGATTGATCCTGTCCTTCATATCTTGTGTTAAAAGACCTTCAAAGACAAAGGAATCTCCAAATCTCTCTGCCTCCGTTACATATCCAGTGGTTCTTACAAAACTCGCAAATTCCTCGTTACTTACTTCAAATTTGTCTATATAAAACCTATCTAATACCACTTCGCGTTTCGGTCCCTCTCCATCAGCCGTAAAAACTGGATTATTCGTTCCTATGAAATATGTCCCGGATTCTATCTTGATCATTTTTTTCATTCCCTCCTCTTTCACGCTAATCGCGTCCAATTTTGAACTATCCACGGCACAATATCCTGCTTGAGGAAAGAAAATCGCTTGACGATTCTTGTTTCCACATTGACAACTGTTGTTGCTCTTTATAGCATTTACACACAAGTAGCAAAATCCGATTGTCAATTGTATTTTGTAAAAATAATAAAAGAGCGTCATTTTTGAAAAATGAAAATCTTGCAGTTCTTCAATAAATATTCTTTTTTATGAATTTCTTCTTTTTATAGATTTTATCTTTTTCAATTTCTTCTTCCTCTGGATTTCTTTTTTCTTTTCTTCAATTTTTTTGGATTTATTCTTTTTTTTAATTTCTTCTTTTAATTAATTTCTTCTTTTAATTAATTTCTTCTTTTTATGGATTTCTTCTTTTTTTAATTCAATCGCAAACGAATGTAAATAAAACCAAAACAGAACAGCTGAGTATCCAAATCACAATCACGAGTCACGGATTTTTGTTCGTTTGGGCTGCGTTCGAAAACTACACACTCGGGTGGTTTCGTGAGTTCAATGGAGAAATGGAGGGGATACAGTGTATTCTCGGGTGTAGTTAGGCATCGTGCAAAGTTTGCCCTAACCTTATAAGAAAAATTTTCAACCTCTAAATTAATTCTTATTTTAACATTTTTTCCATTATACGGTAAATAATAAAACATTTTTTTATAATGATTATATAATTGTCTTTTACTACTCAATTATTTTTTTATAAAAATCTTAAATAAAATATAAAACTGATTCAATATTAATTTCACATTTCATGTTACATTACAATTAAATTTACATGTTTTTCGAATTTGATATAATCTACGTTTTGATTAATATTTATAATTATAGTGTGTAAAAAAATTCTTAAAAATTAATTCAATTTAATTATATCTAAAATGTTTAAAAAACAAGCAATCGCAATTATGAATGATCAAAGATGCATTCTCAGAGAAAGAGAGAAAATTATTTTATATAATTTTCCATTATTTAAAAACTGCTTTAAACAATTTGTAGTGATAAAATTCAAAACAAAATTGTTTATAATTTTATGTTTTGCTTATTTCAATACGTGTGCTATGTTGATTATGAAAAGAAAATTTTATTATAATGAAACTAAGTTTCACTATAATATGAAATCTTATTGTGTTAAAATCCTGTTAGGAACACAATAATTCTGAATATGCTGAATGTGATATTATTAACTTTTTTATATTTGCAGGTAATAAAGTTTTGATCGATTAAAGAAGATTTCTTACACTGTATTAAATCAATGAAAAATATTACAATAAATAAAACATGAGTTGTCAAAAAGGAAATAGTAGTCGATCAAGATCTCAGAAATATCAGAATCATACAGTTTTCAAAAATAATTTGTACGATAACTCTAAGAAAATGAAGCATATTAATAGTATTGAAGTCATCGATGTTTGTGAGCGCTGCAAAAAGATAATAGAATGGAAGATCAAGTATAAGAAATACAAAGTCCTTAAAGCTCCAGTGAAATGCATAAAGTGTGAACAAAAAACTGTGAAACACTCTTATCATAATATCTGCTTGCCTTGTGCCAAGCAGAATGGAATTTGTCCAAAATGTGGAAAGATAGAAGAAAGTGAAAAAGTAAAGCCTAATATGGAAGAACTAAATAATTTGGATGAATAAAGAAGAATATCAAACAATTCTAAAAATATTCTCAGAAAAAAAACTGGATATTTTTAGATAACAAATCTAATCAACACTTGAGTATGTATATTGAGTATTAAATTGTTAAATAAAAAATCTAGCTTATACATAAATAATATATACAGGGTGTTTTATTTTAATCACGCCTGACAAAATCTCGAAAAATCTGAAAGATACAATAAAACGTTTTAGACAAAAATTGTTTAGTTCAAAGAAGGATACAAGATAGTGTCATTGGTTTGAGTGAACGTGCCAAAGTCATATGGAGTACAACTTTATTTTTTTAATGGAACCTTCTATTTTTCATTGCATATATTCTTGTAGCTTATCTCAAGTGCTTTTCAAAACACTAATTAAATTTTTCACGATGTACTTTTTGCATTATGAGAACTTGAAGTTTACAATATTTTGACATAAAATACAAAATATCTTGTGAAACATTCAGTTTTTGGTAATCTTATCCTAATGCTTTAAAAAAACGTATAAAATTTGCAACATTTTTAAAAAATCATTTATGTATTTTCTTTACATCAACTGGTCTCTATTCTATGCATAAAATATTAAAGTAAAATACTATAAACTTCAAATCTCATACTTAAAAGAGACCATACATAATGGAAAAATACTTTATTATAGTGTTTTGAAAAGCTTTTGAAATAAACTATAAGAATATGTGTGCAATAAAAAAATAGAGGTTTCTATTTAAGAAATTAAAAGTGATCTTCTCATATTAACTTATTTTGTCTAAAACATTTTTCTGTATCTTTTATATTTTTCGAAATATTTTTCTAGAGCGATTAAAATGAAATATGCTATATAAAAGTAATATAATATAAATAATAATATAAAAGTATCAAATTCCAAACTTTTAAACATCATTTTTATCCCATATTTTATTTTTAGCAAAAAATACAAAAAAAAACAAATTTCTCCATTAAACAGACACAAATGGTGACAACAAAAACAAACATGAGGATAAAATTAATTCCAAAAAAGAAGATTTATTAATAAAACTAAAATCATTAGACTTATACAAAAGAGGATGATGATAGCAATTTTAATAATGATATTGTTTTATTATGTAATAAAAAATTTGTTAAGTAAAAGGAACTTTCTTAATTATATTTTTAATTTTTTTAATGATAGGTATTAAAATAGTTTCCTTTTTTATTATTATACACATATATTGACAATAAAATTAAAAAAGGCAATTGCCCTGGTGCACAAGTATTTAGTTGGAAAATTACATATAATAAATTTATTTGAAATTATAAATAAGAATGTGATCAATCACATGCGATTGCTTCTAGTAATTTTTCTGCTGAATTTGGCCATTCTTGTGATCACACATTTCCGATAATATCCAATGAAATCCCTAGTTTCAGTTCCATAAATTGTGTAGCCAATAAAATTGTCACTTTTCTGTAAAAGCTGCAAATCAATTGGCTACAAACTTATCGAATCGAATTCTAGCATATATAGGTCTGTTCTTTTTGGCTGAACTGGCTACACTAATTCAGAGGTTATCTTTTTCCTTCCAATCGTCGAGCAAAAAAGATAACCTCTGAACTAGTGTAGCCAGTTCAACTAAAAAGAACAAACATTACACAATTAATCTTTCATTTTATATCATAAATCTGTTATCTTCCTTTTTATATTATTGACTCATCCCCTCTTCTGAAATGAAATTTGCTAATTGTTGATATCGTAATCGTACAAATATCCCCCCCTCTCTCCCTCTCTCTCTCTCTCTCTCCTCTTTCTCTCTCCCCCCCTCTCTCTCTCTCTCTCTTTATAATGTAAAGATAACAAATATTCAGCTGACGTTCGTACATCAACAAAGCAGAATTGTTCGGGATGATATTGTTATTATTGTTAGATTGGAAAGAAGGAAAGGCGGAGACAAAGTAAAAACATATTTGTATTCTTTCTACGTATTTTTAGTATGACTCATCAGCCAAATGCGTATATATGTGATTATACGAAAAATAATGTTCATTATTTGATCGTCAGGTGAACGATGACATTTTGAGAAACTAGCTTGAATCTCATGAAAAAACTTGAATAACTTGAATCAAGAAGAATCAGGATTTTGCTTCAATCATGTGGAAACCTTTTGAGGCTGGCAGTTCACCTGTGGACTGGTGTGAAGGAAATTACAGTATTTCACCCAGCATCGCTGAGTTTATGAATACAGTTCGTACATATTTTTATATATTTATACTATTTATTTAAAAACGCTTTCTCATTTGTTTTAACTTTCGAGTTTATTTTTATAATTTTAGATTAATTTAAACTTTATTATTTCTATCAGTACATATTGATTAAATGTAATAAATTAGTTTTTATAACCGTAATATATTACTTCTGCTCTTAGAGTCAAACAGAGTTTGTCAGTTTGTTTGTCCTCGATGATCTTTATAACAAGTAGACTGATTAAAATGAAATTTTAAGGATTAATTCCTTATCATCTTGGAAGTGTTATAGGCTGTGTAATATATTTTTCTGAGAAAATTTTTGGGGGTGGGTATGCATCAAAAAGTTTTTCAGCTTTTAATGTTAATGTATTTGAATCAAATATAAATAACACTTAAAAATAACAAATAGAAGTGTAAACTTTAATGTTCTAATAATTTAATGATATATTGATTTTTCTACTTAAAAAGAATGGAATGTTATAATTATAAAACATTTTTTTCTAAAATATGTGAAGAAATATTTTAATTAAAGATAAAAGATAACTGTTACTAAAAGAACTGATAATTGGACTATACTTTGGAGACAATTTTTCCTCAACAAAATTATTGAGGCATCAACAATTTTCGAGTTATAAGTGATTGAAAATAAAGAGTTTTTCGTAAACTAAGCCTCATGGAAATAAAATATTAACAAAATCACATTTTCTAATTAATTTTAAGTAGAGTTTACTTTAATAAAATTTATAGATAGGATAGAGTTTACTTTAATAAAATTTTAATTTAAGGTTTACTTATAAAGATACATGACAAAAATTGGGAACATGCAAAAAATGATGGTTTCGACGTTTTTGCTGAGAAAAAAATCGTCTTCAAATAACAAGATATAATATATGTATATAAACATACAAGAATCATTTGGTGAATAAGGAGATGAACAGCTGTTGCAAAAGAAATTGCATATAATTGCAAAAACGAGCATATAAATCGTTTTGAAACTTTGCAGACATTTTTATATATTTGAAGAACATTATATAACAAAATCAAATTTTTATCATTGGTTTTTCATAGTTTGTGAATAATTTAATTATCTGCTTCTCGAAAAAAATTTGCTCCACAAATCACTTTCATGTTCTAGTTTTATGTAATATCCTATTTACCTAACTGCTATCAATTTCAGATTGATACAATGAAAGGAATATGCGTCTCACTGAGATTGGATCAATTGTTATCATTTAAATTAAATAATTAAATTAATAAAATTTTATTTTCTTTATTATTTTTATTTGATTATTAAAGTGTATTACCTTGATATTTGTTAATCATTTTGCATCCTGTCTATTGCGCTGGTCCTATCACGCCTATTATTACATTTTAATTGAATTTTACGAACCTATCTTTTCTAATCATCATTTAACTTATTTTTTAGTTCAGCAATGTGGTCTTCCTACTACTTCCACCTGTTCTCATGCACTTATTTAGAGATTACGGTCGCTTTGTGAATCCTGGAATTCATATAATTTGGTTTTTATTGATGATAGTGGGACTCAGTAGTGCATATTTTCATGCTACTTTGTCCTTGATTGGTAAGAATGAAAAATATGAAAATATATATCCATTAATTTAAGAAGTAGTGGTTTATAAAGTTTAAATTTTATATGTAATAGGTCAACTCTTGGACGAATTAGCTATTCTGTGGGTATACATGGCAGCTTTTTGCATGTTCTTTCCAAGAAGGTATTTTCCGAATTTCTTTCGCAATGATAGAAAGCTCTTCTCTATATTTGCAATATTACCGACTTTAATCGCTACTGGCTTGGCCATAATACATCCGGCAGTAAATGCTTTCGCATTGATGAGCTTGGGTATACCGGCGTTTGTATTTCTGATCATAGAACTAAAAAGGTAATTAAATAATATAGAAATTTATAAACGTATAAATTTAAATGCAGAAACAAATATGCAGAATGTACAAAAAGAAATCCTTTAATTGTACGAAAACTACGCATTTTCGAAAAAAATTTTTCAATTGTAGATTTTAAAAAAAGTTTATTGGGCTTATTAGTTTGACCTTTGAAATTTATTTACTGGGCTATCAGTTTGACGTTTGAAATTCAAGATGACCTCGTCCTAATCTTAACAGTAAACATGTATATGGATCACTATAAAGAAATTATCATAACAAGTCTGTGATTTTTTGCTAAGTTTGAAATACTAAAAGTCACAAAAATTTTAGTAGATAAAATTTTTTTAATCACTTTAAGTAACTTTCTTTAAAGTTTAAACAAAACGGAGAAAACTGGAGAATTTCTTTGTTATGTTCACCTATTTGTAAAAAATTCAACAAGTTAAAAAAGTTCAACCACTATATCATACTATAAAGCAAGGACTCAGCTTTAAGAATCCACTTTAAAATTACTGTACGATGATTTTTAACGGAGTTATGAAAGATCAAAGTGAAAATAACAATTTTTTTCAAATCGCGATAATGTGAGAAGAAAAAATCAAAAGTTAAATTAAAAACGAATTTGCAGGGAAGACTTCAAGCTTTAACGCGAATAAGTCAAACAATTTTTTCAAATCTTATGTATGCGACATGTCTACAAAGTGAGAAAAAAGTTTCCATTTTATTATGTTCGTCGTTTTCTGTGTGTAAAAAATATCAGAATCATTGAAGAAAATGAAAAACAGCTATGACCTTTCGAAATGAGAGATACGAGGTCATCTTGAATTTCAAGCTTTAAAACTCTTAAAATTAAAATTCTTGCTTTTTGAAATAAAGTTACATCTATTTAAAATTTGCCTATTTTTTTATACAATTTTTTTATCCCTTATTATTTTGAAGATTATGCCTTTTTAAATCCTACAACTTTTATCTGAAACATTTTTTTTGGAAAATGCGTAGTTTTTGTAAAGTGAAAGAGTTTTAACACTTATTTTATACTTTGTATATAAAATCAGATTAGAAATCTGAGAAATAATTATATATACAAATTTTGAAGGACTACCTCGATGAGAGTATATAGACTGGGGCTGCGATGTGGCGCCATGTGGATATTATCGGTAACTTGTTGGTTAAATGATCGTTTGTTTTGTGATACATGGCTAAATCTTAATTTTCCCTATCTCCACGCTCTATGGCATCTGTTCATCTTTATCGCAAGTTATACCGCAACGGTGCTCTTTGCATATTTTGCCGTACATGATGAAAAGCCACAACAATTGCCAGTACTTAAATACTGGCCCAGAGATGATTTCGAACTCGGTATACCATACGTGACTATTCGAAGTTATATGAAATTAAACTACAATTCGAACATATAGTTCTTGTAATCTCACTTTGAGACGATCTGATGCATTATTTATTACAATAAATGTAAGGGAATTTTATGTATCTAGATACATACATATATGCGTAGTACATATACATATATTTTTACAACTTATATAAATATTTATTTTAGTAAAATACGTTGCAGCTCTTCCTTTTTATAGAATCACGTGGAAATAAAGTTTAGAGATTAGATTTTACATTATAAAAAAATTAAAAATAAATACGTACAAAAATTATTACAAGGATATTAAAGAGAATTTAGTAATGATGTTATAATTCACTACATAAGAATATTATTATAATATTTATAATATAATATATTAATATTATATTATAATATTTATTATATTTTTAATATTATTATTTAAAATGTAAAATTATGTACATTATCTAATATTCTGTGGATCTGTTTCTTATTTTCTTAACATATTAAATTAATCATGATATCAAATATTAATAAGCAAATTATTTTTCTTGTAATAGACTAATAAATATTTTTATCTGTGGAGAGCGGATATTAATTTTTTATATGATATTAAATAATAAAGTTTATTTCTCTTATAAAAACCGAAAATAGAACCGTTATAAATATAACATTCATATACTTTATAACAAAATTTGTTTTTAGTGTGAATGATGTAATTATTTCTACATATAATTACTTACACTCATACACTTAAAATAAAATATTCCCTTATACATATAAATGTTATAACTTCGGTTAATTATTTATGATCACATACACTGGTCAAAAAAATTGTCGCAATACACAATTAATATCACAATTTCGCGTAAATTCAAATAAGCGTATCTCCGCGAACAATTATCGTATTTAAAAAAAAATTTTTTTTAATTTTAAAGAGTGAAATCTCTACTTTAAGAAATTTTCGTTCGATTTTGATTTCATCCTCTCCCCTCTTTCCATTCCGTTAAAAAGTAAAGTATGTATTTTTTTCAAAAAATTGCAAAATTTGACGAACTCTACGGGGTAAAATAAATTTTTTTCGCAAATCTTAAAACAAAAAAAATTTTCAAATACGATAATTTTTCGCGGAAATACGCTTATTTGAATTTACGCGAAATTTTGATATTAATTACGTGTTGCGATAATGTTTTTGACTAGTGTATATTAACAAATTAAAATATAATTTATACATGATTATGTTACTCATGTTAATTTTTTTACAAAGGACTATTTTGCAAATGTTACTTAAAACATTCTAATTGTTACTTAAAAACGTGATGTGCAATTTATATTTTAAGTACATAATAACATATCAAATATATTTAACTTACATATATATACATATGTGTGCGTATGTTTTGTATGTATACAACGTAAACAATATACTCAGGATTTTAATTATGTAAAATTTGAGACTGTATATATACATATGTACAATAAGAAAAAGATATTATGAGTAAACAATTTTCAATTTGTAGCTATATTATATGACATATACAGGGTGTCCCAAAATTAATAGCAAATCTTTTAATGGTAGATTCCTGGGATTATTTGGAGACGATTTTTCCTCAGCGAAAATGTCGAGAGACCATCATTTTTTTTAATAAGGAAAACAATTAGATATTTAAAGACAAGGCTCGTGTGATATTATAAAATTAAGATTTAGAAAGACAGGGCCAACTATAACGAGCATATTAAATTAGTGAGAGATGTAATGTCAACACATAATTGATTTATTTCTTAGTAAATACAATGATAATAAATAATAAAACGTTTCGGCTGTTACCTCAGCCTTCTTCAGTAAATATAAAAAACAATAAAAAATTCTTTTAAGTAAAATTATGACATATTACGCATTAGAGTCTATTTTTTAATGAACATTTTGGTTTGATAAGTCGATGAATTTAAATTGGGTTACGCTTATATCATTTATTAAATTAGATATTGTTTCTAATCGGCTAACCATTTTTTAGCTAAGATGGTAAACTTTTTGATTATGTCAAAAAACATGTAAACGAGTTCCCTGTTGTTAGTAGAACAGGTTTTCATTTTTTGCCTCTCTGCCAAATGATCCCCCAGGAATCTGCCATTAAAAGGTTTGCTATTAATTTTGAAATACCCTATATATATACATATATATATGATAAAATAGGAATGTGTGTGTATTAATATCTACATGTTTTATAGTATATACATATAATTTATGTATAATAATTTTATTTTTTTTATAACTTAATGTGTATAAGTAATAAAAAATGTAAAATTTAAAAATGTATAAGTTTGTATAAATGATGTAATTAAAAATTGGAAGATATATTTTTTTTCATTCATATTCTCCTCTAAAATACATAACATTTTTATCCGTTTCATGGACCTTGACTTCGTACAATAATTTAGGATTAGACATATATTTTTTTAGCTCCTCGAAAATATAGACAGCTATATTTTCAGTTGTCGATGTTTTTGCTTTGAAATAATCTACTTGTTTATCAATATTTTTGTGATCCATTTTTTTTATCACCACTTTCTGCATTACATCCTTCAAATCTGTCAAATTGAGAATCATGCCTGTTTTTGGATCTATCGGTCCGCGCACAGTTACTTCTACTGTAAATGAAAATAAAGAAACTTGATGTTACTTTATCTGCAAATCTCAATTTGAAATTTAGTTATTAAAACGTTTATTATGTATAGTATAATAATAAAAAAAATTGAAAAGAATTCGAAAACAATAGTGTCTATGGCCACTATTTATTTTTTCTTGCAACTTTCATATTTATCAGAAAGAAATAATTTTATCGGCTCTCAATATTAAGAATATAAATATGATGTTTTTACATCGGCCAACAGAGCCAAAGCACGAAAAATTAATTATTCGGAACTGTATCTCTTGGTTTGAGATCACTAAGTTCCATATTTATATACTACATAATGATGTACTTAAATTTTATTTTAAGACATTTTGGTACAAAAAAAAATTAATTTTTTACATTTAATGAAAACGTTCTTTTTTTATTATATGAACTTATGATATACATATATGATATAATGAGTGAAAATATAAGTATATGCGGGGTGTATCAGATCACCCGTGCCAGCCGAATATTTCAAAAACCGCGAACGACAGGCAAAAATGTTCCCTACAAAAGTTGTAGAATTTTGAGTAACGCATTACATAGTAATATTAGTACGACCTTGAATAGCGTTGTCAAGGTCACGTAAAGATCGCCTTCAATTTCTTAAATGAAATCTTCTATTTTTCATTACATATTCTTGTAGCTGATGTCGAGAGCTTTCCAAAACACTATAATAAAACATTTTTTCATTAAGTACTTATTGAGTTATAAAAATTTTAAGTTAACAATTTTTTTTAATAACATGTAAAAATTTTTTTTTAATAACATCGTGCAAAATATTTAGTTTTCGGTAATTAAACCTTGATACTTTTATGCATGGAATAATGAGACGAATTAATTGGTGTGAAGAAAACACATAGTTGCTTTAAAAAGGGTGTATGTTTGCAACATATTTTTTTTTAAAAGCAATTATGTGTTTTCTTTACATTAATCGATTGGTCTCATTATTCCGTGAATAAAAGTATTAATGTGATTACCAAAAACTAAATATTTTGTACGATATTTTACATTTTATGTAAAATATTGTAAACTTCAAACCTTTATAATTCAAAAAGTACTTAATGAAAAAATGTTTTATTATAGTGTTTTGGAAAGCTCTCGACATCGGCTACAAGAATATGTAATGAAAAGTAGGGAATTCCATTTAAGAAATTAAAGGTGATCTTTACGTGACCTTGACAACGCTATTCAAGATCGTACTAATATTACTATATAATGCGTTACTCGAAACCCTACAACTTTTGTAGGGAACATTTTTGTCTGTCGTTCGCGGTTTTTGAAATATTCGGCTGACACGGGTGGTCTGATACACCCTGTATAATTATAAGTATATATAATTAAATATAAGTATAAATAATTACCTGTGTAATTATGACCGTGCCCCCAGGGATTATTGCATTTCCCATATATTGTTGCATTTTCGTGCTCATTCAAAAATGGGCTAAATTATTAAAGTATTTAAAATATTGATATAAAAAGTATCCAAAATCTATCAAACAATTTCTATTTACGAATTCTTCAACCAATTTCTGAAAAATCAACTTTCTACGAACAAAGCTTGAATATTCAATACATCTATTTAATTTTAATAAAATGCAATATTTTTTATTTAAGATAGTCGACTGAAATTATTGATCAAACAAAATATTTATTATGTATATACAAAATAGAGATGAAAACCAAGAGCTCAAGTTCTTTTCTGTCTTGAATTTTGTCGCGAATTATATAGACATTACATTTAAACAAAGTCTTTAACATTGTATCAAAATTTGTGAATTAATAAATAAATAAATCTTGATAAATTTTATTGTACAATTTATTTTTGTTAGAAATATGATGCGCAGATTAAACATTAATATAAAAAGAAAGTAATTATATAATATAATAATTATTTTAATATTATGTATACAGGGTGCAACAAAAACATCGAAACACTGGATTATCTCGAACAATATATAAGCCTTATAAAAAATGTCTCAAAATTATAGGGCTTAATACAATAAGCTATATAATGATCTTATCAGTTTGACCTTGTATAGTCATTTGAAGGTCACCTTCAGTTTTTTAAATGGAACCCCCTATTTTTCATTGCATGTAGCTTATCTCGAGAGCTTTCCAAAACACTATAATAAAGTTCATTCTCATTAAGTACTTTTCGAGTTATAAGATTTGAAGTTAACAATTTTTTGACATAAAAATATAAAATATCTTGTAAAATATTCAATTTTCGATAATCATTCTTTAATACTTTTATGCACGGAATAATGAGACCAATCAATTGGGGTAAAGAAAACACATAGTTGCTTTTAAGAAAAAGTATGGAACTGCATGTTGCAAATTACATTTCTTTTTTAAACAATTATCTGTTTTCTTTATACCAATTGATTGGTCTCATTATTCCGTGCATAAATGTATTAAAGTAAGATTACTAAAAACTAAATATTTTACAAGATATTTTACATTTTATGTCAAAAAATTGTTGATTTGAAACATTATAACTCGAAAAGTACTTAATAAAAATATATTTTATTATAGTATTTTAGAAACCTCCTGAGATAAGCTACAAGAATTTGCAATAAAAATAGGTTTTGTTTAAAAAATTCAAGATGACCTTCACGTGATCATCACACAACTATCCTAAATATAAGATCAAACTGATAAGATCATTTTACATATAACTTGTTTTAAGCCTTACAATTTTTATTCGAGATTTTCCATTTTCTGTAGGACTTATATTTTTAGAGATAATCCAGTGTCCCGACCTTTTTGTTACCTGTATATCAAAAATAAATATTATATATATAATAACATATATATAAATAATTATTTATATATATTAACATATTTCATAAAAAATCATAACTATTTCTGATTTCAAATGTATGTACATAATTAGAATTAAATATAGTTACAGAAATAAGCAATCCAAAAAATTTATTAACAACAAATAGTGACATTTTGCACAAAATTACTACAAATCGAAGAAAAATAACATTCAAACCTTTGTTAGAACTAATATAGAAACTTTATTTTTTTTTAATATGTTCTAATTTTAAAGGTCATCTAACTTATTTCTTTTGAATCGCTTATTCGAAACACTTACTCTTCAATATATTTATTAGAATCAATCATATAAACTTTCAATCATTATTTAGCTCAATATATATATATATCCCGCAAGTGATGTCCATACTGAAACTAGCAGGTATTCTTGGTGTCATTTGATTACAGCCTATGTTATTTATTGCGAGCTCTTGAGTTTTGAATTATGGGATATTTAGAACTCTCGAAATCCATTCATTTAAAAAAAAGTACGGCAAAATTCCTTTCCTTTTTTTCATTATCTACAATTGAGCTAAATAATGATTGAAAGTTTATATGATTGATCCTAAAAAATATATTGAAGAGTAAGACAGAAGTGAGATTTATCTGAGTTTTGATGTAAATGGAAAGCAACTAATAATATATTAGTTGCTTTCCATTTACATCAAAAATCAGATAAATCTCACTTCTGTCTTTCTTCAACATCCATGTTAAAAAAAGGACAAAAGTGAGATTGATCTAAGTTTTGATGTAAATGAAAAGCAACTATTGTTTTACTCTAACTTACTGCGGCATGTTCACCAGTCCAGTAATAAAGAATAAACCTATTATTTTTCTTAAAAATAGATCGATTTTTCAAGGTGATCAAAGAATTCATAAGAAATCGTATGTATTAATTGTAAGTCTAAAAGATTTGTCTTATATATACAACTGCTTCAAACCTGTGCAAACAATGACTACATGATATTTGCTCTTTTCTTGTTAAATATGCAATAGGAAGCGATTTTTGTTTACAAGACGGTGAATCCATCTTCTAACATATGGATACCATAAAAGAACTAGGCTAACAGGCCGATTCTGAATTGATAAAGAAGACCTCATGCGGTGACAAAGCGAAACTCCGGTTTCAAGGTTATCAAAACACTAAGGGTGCGATTACATGGACGCGCGGAAACGCGGAAGAGAAAGTAACTAAACTTTACTAGAGTCCCGCATTTCCGCGCGTTCCGTTCCGTCTGTTTTGATTGCCTTATATTACATGGAGTACATTTTGAGCAGAAAAGCGGAACGGTATAGTGACAAATAGACATTTGTATTAATTTTTTAAATTTATATTTACTTAATTCATTGTAATTCCTTTTAATATGTTCATCTTTTCAACTTATCTATTGAATACAAGCATTTTAATCAATAAATATAGTTAAATATTAATATTTTATAATTCCCCGTTCCGCTTTTCCGCTCAAAATGTGCTCCATGTAATATAAGGCAATCAAAACAGACGGAACGGAACGCGCGGAAATGCGGGACTCTAGTAAAGTTTAGTTACTTTCTCTTCCGCGTTTTCGCGTTTCCGCGCGTCCATGTAATCGCACCCTAAGGCTTAGAACATATAGATATGGAAGGGGAATAGGAGCGCAAAACTGTGTCCAAGTTGAGTGCGAGAGAGAACCACGTTTTTAAGGAAAGAGAAGGGTAGATTGTTACCTACGTTCGCAATGCGCAAACGCGAATTAGCGAAAGCACCAATTACATTTCCAGTTTCAAACGGCGCGGTGAGCGTGACGTCACCGTGACGTCATCTACGTTTGCACATTGCGAATAAAGGTTAAAAGCTATCTTTCTCTCTTGCACCAAACTTGGAAATAGATTTTTAGCACGACAGACAAAGCAATTCCCCTCATAAAAAAGAATTCGCGGCACACTGAAAAAGCTGAAACGGTCTGAACTTTATTCCCCACTATATTTTCTTGACGCCGAATCTAGAGAAAGTTTAGTAAGTTTAATTTGACGCTGGTTTCTAGCGTCCGTGAAATTGCACCTTAAGGGTCGACAGGCGACATGGTAAAGACGTCTATTGGCCTGCCGGGAATTACGGATTCGTTTATCTCAGATATTAGCCAAAATACTTAATGAATCTTATTAAATTAACGATATTCTTAATCAGTAGGATTGTCTGCAGGGAGACAAAGTTGATTTTTTGGAAAAAAGATGAATATAAAATTCAAAATAAACTTGGGGAGATCGCAGCTACAGCGGGTAAGGTTGGATTTAGCCAGGAGATCGATATTTAATTTATTATAAATTATTTAAGAGCAAAAAGCAGCCATGTTAGCAACAGGTAAAAAAACTGACAAATGTATAGATAATAACTCTAATGTAAATAATAGAATTGATGCGTGTAAGCTCAGACAACCTGTTAAATGGTGGGATAATGAATGCTCAGAGATAATAGAGAATAGAAAAAAAAACTAAAGATATGGAAACGGACAGGAAAAGTGGAGGATTTTATTGAATTCAAAAAAAGTCGCGCACTAGCTAGAAAAGTCATCAATAGAAAGAAAAAAGAAGATTTTATTAAATTTTGTAATAGTATTAATAAACATACTAGTATGAAGTACGTTTGGAATTCAATGCGTATATATAAGAATGTAAGAAATAAGATTAACTGGAACGTTTGGCAACATAAAGATAGAGAACAAGAAATATGGAATACGATTGAAGAACTTGCTCCTCCATGGGTTGCAGAGGAAAAAACAACAAGACGGATAACAAATACGACAGATAGAGAGGAGTTGAATAGGATGTTTTCTATGGAAGAGCTCTCCCGTGCCCTATGGATGATTAAAAGAAACTCAGCTCCAGGGTTAGACGGAATAGATTATATAATGCTAAAAAACCTACCGAAAATTGGCAAACAATTACTTCTAAGGTTGTTCAATGAAATTTGGATGAGGGATTGGTTTCCGTCGGATTGGAGAAACTATCAGATTTTGTTTATTGATAAAATAGGAAAAGAAAAAGTCAGACCTGTTGCACTTTCTTCATGTGTAGGAAAATTAATGGAAAGACTGATAAACGAAAGACTTATTTGGTGGCTAGAAAAAGAAAAAAAGCTATCATCAATGCAAAATGGATTCCGTAGGGGGAGATCATGTATGGAAAATTTAGTAAAGCTAGTATCGGATGTTCGTGGAACGAATCTGGCCGACAATTACACCTTAGCGGCTTTCTTGGACATCTCAGCGGCGTACGATAATGTAGACTTTGATATATTAATAGAGAAATTAAGAAGGGAAAAGTGTCCAACGGGTATTTACAATTTTATTAGTAGATGGTTAGAACCTCGTGATACATCTTTTGTGATTAATAACCAAAGAGTAGAAATTAGAAAAGTTAACAAAGGCTTGCCACAGGGAGCAGTTCTTAGCCCTATTCTATATGCGTTATACACGAATAAATTGACTTCCAGATTGGAAAATTCAGTCCAAATAGTACAATTTGCGGATGATATCGCGGTATATGTACAAAGTTCCAACAGATTTGAAAATAAAATAAACTTGGAGGTAGCAGTTAATAGAATAGCGAAGAATCTAGAAATTCTAAAACTAGACTTGGCACCACATAAAACAAATCTGGTGGAATTTTCTAAAAAGGGATTCTGTGATAAAAGGCTCTCTATTAATGTTAAGAAAACAAGAATTTTTAATAATCAGGGAGCTAGATTTCTAGGAATTTGGTTAGATAATAAGCTGGATTTGGATAAACAAGTTAGTGATATTAGAGGCAAAGTTAGTAGAGCTAATAATATTATGAAATACCTTAGTAATATAACTAGAGGCGTAGAAGTGAATACTGCTTTGATTCTATATAAAAGTATAGTAAGATCAGTTATGGATTACGGTTTGTTTGTGTATAGTCCAACTTCAAAATCTGTTCAACTTAAATTAGAAAGGGGCCAATTCCTGGGAATTCGTACAGCTTTAGGATATAGAAATAGCACGCCAAATAATGTGTTGATTGCAGAATCCAAGGTTATTTTATTAAAAGATAGAGCTTTGATGTTAGCTAAAAATTTTTGTAGCAAAATATTTAAATATGGAGAAAATACACTTAGAAATAGTCTTAATAACCTTCTAAACAAAGAGATGTTTGCAAGATATAGAAATCCAAGTTTTAATAAGAGTACTATTAGTGAAGCATGGGAGTATACGCGTCGTTTTAGCAACAGACTAGGTGCCCAAGAACACACTTTTGAAATATGGAACATGGAATATAGCTCCCTGACTAATGCGATAAATATAGATTTTGAAATCGGCAAGATCATTAAAAAAAAAGGAAAAAAAAGTGACTGTGATATTAGTAAAATAAAAGGATATAGGACTTTAGATATTAAAATGATTAACGAAATTAAACAGAGATATAAGTTAGATAATAAAACTTTTATTATGTATACTGACGGTTCTAAAGACATAACGGCTCAATCAACAGGTGCTGGTATAGCCATTGAGGAGCAAGACGAAGGTTATTATATTAGTTTACCTAAGGAATGCACAATATTTACGGTAGAGGCAATAGCAATTTCTACAGCTCTAAAGATTGCAGAAAGTAGAAGGAATTCCTTCAATAATGTAGTTATATTTTCTGACTCGAAGTCCGTTCTTCAAGCTATCTCTCAAAATAATATTAATGTATATAAAAATAAGTATGTTCTTGAAATAAGAAGGCTATATAGTCGATTTAAAGATCTTTATTTTAAGAATATATTGTTTGTATGGATTCCATCTCACTATGGAATCTCGGGAAATGAAATTGCAGATTTCCTAGCAAAAGCAGGCACCCAGGAACCGGCAAATGTTGAATTTGATATTCCTATTAGAGATTTAAGAAATATATATAAAAATGAAGCGTGGATAAGAACACAAGAATATGTTATTAGAGATTCTAGATTGAAAGGAAAGTACTATTTTTCTAACTTTTATGATAGGAACAGTAAAATACCGTGGTTTGAACATTTTAACGAGGAAAGATATTTTGTAACCTTTGTAAATAGATTAAGAGCGAATCATTATAATTTAAATGCATCGTTAGCAAGGAAAAACTATATAAATGACACAAGATGTGATTGTGGCTACGAATATGAGGATATCGATCACGTGATTTGGCGATGTCATCGATACGACGAAGAGAGAATGAGAATGGGAGACATCTTAAGTAGCAGGAATATCGACGGAGTGGAAAGCGTTACAGACATCCTGAAGAAAAAAGATTGGAAGAAATTTGGTGTTATATTCAATTTTATCAAGAAATTGAACAGAATTATTTAAAAACTTACTGGGCTCGCAGATGCGAGTAATTTAAAAAAAAAAAAAAAAAAAAAAAAGGCGCCCTCTACCCTAGCCTTGCGTTATATCGGGTGTCCACCGTGAAGTAATGCTTACGCGGTTCCGCGGTGGACAATACCCATATGACCAGGGGCTTCAGTCAGGTTTTAGGTCGGTCCCCCGCCCGATAGTCCCTCGGGATACTACGGGCGGGAATCCACCACGAAGCCTCCTGGCCCTCCCTCAGGGGTCAGGACGGCGAAGTTTGGTTTAGGCAAATTTCCTGACTTAAAAAAAAAAAAAAAAAAAGCCTTGCGTTATATAACCTCAAAAACCGATCCGGTCAGGTTGACGACGCGTGTCCCGAGTGAGATACGAAAACCAAAAAAAAAAAAAAAAACGGTGTGAATAAAAATAAATGTTACAGAGAAACAAAAAGAAATTATGTTAAATTTTATGAATAAACATTCGGATTTCGGTCGGGGCCGGATACATTTTTGAACATGCTTGAATAAAATTGACGCGGCGTGTTATGAGAATTGATCGATATAAAACAATACATTAATAAAAAAGTAGTGTTTAAAAATCTTTTATTATAAAGTTAAGAAATGTACTGTGATAATCTTAATTATTAATTTATTATAAGATTATGAAATGTACTAATTTTATGTGATACAATTTATGTGATAAATATATATATAAATTTATATATAAATATATATATATATCCTATTCAAAATACCATCACACAATATTTCTTAATTCGTACTTCTTCTGCTTGCATTATATTTATATCATTAAATGGTATCGGCACTTCTCCTTCTTCCTCCAAATATACTTCATTTCCCATACAGCACCGATAGATTGCAAAAACATTACAACAATCTTTCACCGCAATATTGCAATATTGCAAATTCACTGCAAAATGTTGCTACATCATTGCTGTTGAATTGCAGCAATGTTAAAATGTCCGCTTTTTGGAAGATTGCAACAAAATATTACAACAATATTGCAATGTTATGAATTTGCAATAATGCATTGTTATTGCAACCATAAACTAATGTTGCATATACAGGTATATAAATGTAAATAAATCATTAATGAAAATACGTTGTAATTAATTTATATATATTACAATATATAAATTATAGAATTTGGATTACATGCAATATTTCCGAAATATTAATGTCATGTTGCTACAAGTGTGCTGAAATTTTGTGCACCTATATCTCTGCAATGTCTTTATAATGTTGCATTGCAACTTGCAACATTGCAACGTTGCTGCAATATAATTGCAATAATCTGTGCTGTATGGGTTAATGGAATTCTCCATTTATAAGCAATGTTATGTAAAACACAACATGCATTTACAATTAGAGCTGTAAAGAATAGATTTAAAAAATACCTTTTCTTATCTCAATTATGCACTATAATTATTTACATACCAGCAAATTCTGGTGTATAATGTAATGTCCTCTCTTTTAATACGTATTTTAATCGCGCTCTACTCTACATAACATATAATGCAGTAGGATATACGACACATTTTGACATTATTCGACACAATAATTCTTGTCGAATAATCTCACGTGAAATATTTCGCGTTTCCATTATAATGAAAATTAGCCAATCAAGTAAATGCTCACTTTTGTCATTTTCACTAGGTTTTGAGATACACAATCGACCCCCAGGGTACCTATTACGGTTATTTGGGTGAGTTTGCTCACGAGATGAAAATCACAAAAGTGAGAGATTCACTAGATTTTAACCAATAGAAGCGTAGACAACCTAGTGAATCTCTCACTTTTGTGATTTTCACCTCGTGAGCAAACTCAACCAAAGAACCGTAATAAGTACCCAGGTCAGAGTCGGGTTATAATGAGCAGTCTTAAGGTGCTGATGGACGCGGCAAGTTGCCGCGCGCGGCAGTTCAGAAAGAACTAGATCTAGGGGCTTCTGAATCACTCCTGCGTTACCGCAAGTGAAGTTGGAATAATCCAACTTCACTTGCGGCAACGCGGGAGTGGTTATTTGTGCACATTTCAAAATAAAATTGAAACGATGGCAGGAGTAAATGTGGAGATTCCAAAGGTTAGTGTATGTTATTATATCCAAATATAATATAAGTTTAATATAAAAAAATATTAAGAAAGCAATCGCGAAGGTAATATATATGATTGTGCATAATTCAAGATTGGAGGTTAAGTGTATGTTTTGGTCGTTTCGGAAGAGAAAAACGTATTGTAACATGTGCGTACGAATCTATTTCAATTCTTATAAACATTTATGACTTGGAACCGAACTTTAGAATGACACATCGGGTGATATAATTGATTTTTTTTTATGGCAGAAAGTATACACATGCGAATTATGCGAAATAATTCTTGGGGACCTTGAGGATGAAGAAACATGGTCCCATGAATGTTTTGCAAATTATTCAGAGATTGTTTTTGATGTGAATAGCTTGTATTTATATCCCAAATGTGGTAAGTAAAATATAAAAGGTGAAAGTGACCGATATAATACTATTTGAGCGAATGTAACAATTTAAATATCTTGTAGAAGATGGAAGCATTGTGCGCCGAAGTGCGATTAATGGAGCAGAGCAGATTGTAATAGAATCGCCTCTTCCGACACAAGAGCCGTGCCCAGTGGAAAACCTGGAAGAACTTATCATTACAGAAGTGTCGGCACGAGAACTGTTATGAAATCAAAAACTGAGTATAACAAAACGTGACAGGCAAACTGTACAACAACTTTGGAAGCAAGTGGCTAATGCGACGAATGATACGTATATATATTTGTGTGTGTATGTGAGAGAGAGAGAGAGAGAGAGAGAGAGAGAGTAGTTAAAGAAAACTCAATAGAATTAAAGTGATATAACAGTACGATTTTATTATTACAGGCGAATGTTCTGTCGATGAGGTAAAAAAAAAATGGAAGAACTTAAGGGATCGTTACATGAAAATAATCTCTCTTGAAAAGTTGCCAAGTGGATCAGGAAGTAAACCATCTCGCAGAAAGTGGCAACATTACGAATTATTGTCTTTCTTACGTGACACTTCTTTGGAAAAAGAGTTAGTATTTCACAAAAGCATTCACTGCAATACTAAAAACAGTTAATATTGATATTATTTCATTTTATTGTATTTCAGGACAGTTTCAAATATGATGAGTCGTGAGGAAGACACTAGCAATGATGACACGGAAATCCAAAGTGTGGACGTCGTAGAAGTCAACGGTGCGATTGATGCATCAAAAAGTATTTCGTTCATAAGCTGTACGGGCAAGTAAATAAATTTAAAAACAGAAAGAGAATAATAAGAAGAATATGCAATAATAAAATAAAACTTTTGCAGGGTCTACAATGTAGTCGTTATGACAATACGACGCTGCAACGGACCAATCAGAGAAAAAAAATCATATATTCTCTTCTTTGATTGATCCGTCACAGCGTCGTAACATTGTAACGACTGCATCGTAGACCCCGCATTATATTCAAAATTCCACATTAATTATCAACCGACACACATATATATATATTGTAGGAAAATTGTACAAATTGAATATCTCACTTGTTAGTACTATTACAGCTAGCTACATCAATTTTGTCCAATAATACAAAATGTATTATTATGTAAAAGTCATTCTTTCATTTTCAGGAATGAAAAGAAAACGAAAAAGTACTGAGCGCGAAGAAGACTTGATGAAGCAGATAGCAGAGGCCTTGCAGACTCCACGACCACCTTTGCCAACTCCTCCTGTTCTTGACGAAGTTGACAATTTTACTTCGATGATTGCCTGCCAGCTACGAGAGTTGTCATCAGTCCGCAGACGCGCAATAATGTTGAAAATTCACGAGCTCTTACGTGCTGAATTATTGCGTAACGACAATTCGGCAACAACAATAATATAACGTAAAATATAATAATATGAATAATATATGTATACGTATAGTAATAAAACGAGACTGATTTTGTTAGTGCAATAAAGCCGAAGCGTATTTATTCAAATAGTTATTACTCAACTGGACCGGGATACCAAGAAACATTAAAGTTATGATTATCTGGGAAAGTAGGAAAAAGAAGTTTTAAAGAATTAGTTTGCATGATTAAAAGGTGTGATTTATTTCCTTTGCATGTGTAGTATACAAATAATGATTATATCTGTGATGTCTAGTATAATATTATAAATAAAACGAAATAATATGCTAATGTATCATTTATCATTTTGCCATGCTACTGAGCCTTCATTATTAAAATATTTACAAAATTCATCTCTAATGAGCATGGCACCCCGAGTACTTGTATTTGTACTACATTTGGAGATGTCCACAAATGCACAACCATCTTCCATAATCGTCCTCCACGAACCTCGTATGTGATCACCCACAGCCGTTTCTTTATCCAACATACCTGGTGGAATATAATTGTTCTTCTCGATATCACTCTTGCGGAGCCAGTTATGAATGCAGATTGTACCTTGTACGATCTTCATAGCAGTTTCCACACTACTAATGATCGGTTTTCGATAAACTCGCCATTGGCTAGCAAGTATTCCGAAACAATTCTCTATCACTCGTCTGGCTCTACTGAGTCTATAATTGAAGATGTGCTGTTCGGCGGACAAGTTATTTTTGCCAGAGTATGGCCTTAGCAAATATGATTTCAATGGAAAGGCTTCATCCCCGACAATGCAGTAAGGCAAAGACGGGCCTCCTTTGTAAAAACTGTCCGATTTTGGGATATTCATTTGACCTGCATTAAGTTGTTGACCGAATCGGCTTTCACGAAAAATGCCTCCATCACTTCGCCTGCCATACGCACCAATATCGACGAACCGGAAAATATAATTGGCATCACAAATAGCTAATAGCACAATGCTATGACTGTTTTTATAGTTGTAGAAATTGGAGCCAGCATTATCCGGACACTGAAATTACACAAAGATTATTATATATTTTTCACATACTGCAAGAAAATTGGAGTCTGCTCGTATTGTTTTTTCTATTTATTTCCCGATAGTTTTTAATATTTGAATAATGCCTGAAAAGAATTATAATACAAGTATTACTTACTTGAATGGTTACATGCTTTCCATCGATTGCTCCAATGCAATGTGGAAAGTCCCATATATCTTCAAAATCTTCTGCGATGCTCCGCCAGTCATCTTCGAATAACTGAGGTGGAAGAACCAAAGGACACAAATGTTCCCAAATAATCTTGCATGTTGTAGCAATAATATTGCTTACAGTCGTCAAGCCTACTAAATATTGATATGTCATTGAAGACATGGAATCACCAGCTGCCAGAAATCTGAAACGTAATGCAAATTGATGTAATGCAACATTTACATTCATATAACTAAAATAAAAACAAAAGATGTTTACCGTAATGTCAACGTCAATCGTTCTGCTGCACTTATCGGCTCTCGCACGACGTATTGTTTCTCTAGATGCGGGCCTACAATGGCTAACAACTCTTCGTATTGCGTGGTTGACATCCGAAAATAATTATGGAACCGCAGATCTTCCAATTTAAGTGTTGGCAGCAAGGCATGGTAAAAACCATGCTCACAGCGTTTTTTAAAAATTGGAGCAACCCAGAAACGCTTCTTTTTGTTGATCCGTCTGTTTTTTGCAGCTAATAACATAGCTAATGATCCGAGCAACTTGTCACGTCGGTCTGCTTCTACATTCTGTTCCTGACTGCACTGCATTGACCACTCATAAATTTTCATTTTCGCAGACATGATATATTGATTATTTAAACTGATAACTGAGATACTGAGGAATTGAGGTTATATTGTTTCGCGACAAACGCGATGACGCCGAATTCGCGCGACAGAGCGGCAAGCGGCATCAGTTTCAGAAGCCCCTAGATCTAGTTCTTTCTGAACTGCCGCGCGCGGCAACTTGCCGCGTCCATCAGTAGGCACCTTTACGGTGGAAACACCAATAACCCTACCCTATAAAATTTTAGGGTAGGGTAATTGATGTTTCCACCGTAAGAGTTCACTATAACCCGACTTTGACCTGGAAGTCAATTGTGTAATTTTTTCTTAAAGTGGAAACGTGAAAAGTGAAAAATTTTCGCCAATCACGCATTGATTTTAAAAGAAAATCGATGTGTGATTGGAAGAAATTTTTCACTTTTCACATTTTCACTTTAGAAAAAGTTATACAATAGACGCCCTGGACTCTGACCTGATTTAAACTCTCGGTGAAAATAGTCTATATTTAACAAAAGTGCTCGACCCTATATGTTGTCCTAGGGAGTTCCGGTTTCGCCTTGTTGACAAGAGGTTTGTTCTTTTCAACTGAACTGGCTACACTAGTTCAGAGGTTATCTTTTTCCCTTTAATGTTGAGCAAGAAGGACAATCTCAGAACCAGTTTAGCTGAAAAGAACAGACCTAAAGATGCAGTCCCATGCACAGCGAAAAATCGGAAACGGCAAAAAGAGAATTACAAAAACGGAATAGACGCGCATGCGTAGTGTGCAGTATGTAAATCTTGTATCTATGTGATCAACATAAGATTGTAACATAACCCCCATACGGCACAGAAATATTGCAGCAACATTGCAGCAATATTTATTTGCAAAATTACAACATTGCAGCAATATTGCAGCAACGGTAAAATGTCCGCTTGTAGCAATATTACAATACAATACTGCAGCAATATTACAATACAATACTGCAGCAATATTACAATGCAATAGTGCAACAATATTGCAATATAATATATGTATATATATGTATTATAATGCTTTGTATTGACGTAAGATCGCGTTGACTGAACTTGCTGCACTAGTTCAGAAGTTATCTTTTTCCTTCCAACAATGTCGAGCAAAAAAGACAACTTCTGAACTAATGCAGCGAGTTCAGTCAATGCGAACAGACCTATAAGTGGTATTTTTACATTCTAATTAAATCTGAGATATATATATCTCATAGATTGTTAGAATGTGCGTGTTTGTAAATATATATTACATGCAGTATAAAAGAGAATATTTCAGAAATTAATATTTATGTATATATATGAGTTACATAAAATAAAATATACGCAACATTTAAATTTATTCTTACTATATATTGCAATAAAAAACCAAATTATATAAAAATTTTATATACAAAATATGTTAATATATAACACGGTATATATTCATATATAATAATCTGCGTATATAATATACATATATATGTACACGTGCACAACATATGATATAATAATTTTTTATAAACCTAATAAAAACAAAAAATTTACTTAAATTGCATTAAAGTATCTTAATCATGTAAGAACAAAAAATACATATTATTTTTACTATTTATAAAATTATAACAGTATATTTTCAATATTGCTGCAACATTATTACCACACTATTACAGCAATGTTCTATATTCATATTTCAGCAATGTTGCTGAAATATTGCTGCAATATTGCTGCAAGGTCCTGTGCCGTATGGGCCCTCGATGCTGCGCATATAAAATAAAAGTACAGCGAGCAAGTTTAAATTGTTAAAATCATTTATGAATGTTCTTCTCTTCTTTTTAGTAAAAGATAAAGACAGTACATCTTGTTAATTTGCTCATAATTCTTTTTGGATTGCCAAGATGTTTGTGGCATTCGTTGCAACTGTCTGCATTTTTGCATTATTAATATCAAATAAATTGCAGATTTCATATTTACGTACCCAAACAATTATTGACACATTATTGCAGAATATAGAATTAATAAAAATTTTTAATAAACTTAAATTTTTTTAAAAATTTTGCGTGTCTTTTCTGTTTCTATTTTTCAATTTCTAGCATCCCATGGAGCAGATTTTTCAACAGGAAATAATATCCTAACCTTTCTTCAACCAAAAATTTTAAAAAATACAAAAATTAGTATACTTTGAGTGTAGTTATTAGTTACACAAATATTTAATAATAATTATTTTATTTATATAAATTATACATTTTATTTTTTACCTTAAAATAGCGTTTCCGATTTTAACAAATTTCGATTTGTCTTCACTTTTTCTGTTTTTTAGCGTGCATGGGACGCCGGGAATTAAAAAAACGAAACAGAATGAGCAGACGACACGCTGTGTAGCAGCGCATGCTCCATTCTCATTTTGCGATTCCCTTTTTGTCTTTCCGATATTTGCTATGCATGGGACTGCACCCTAAGAAGACGTGTGTGTGCCCAGTGTGCCTCGCTCAGTGTATCACTTCGTTATATCTAGTGACTTTAGACATCCCATGATGGCAGGGACTCATGCGGTTATCATACAAACTACCCAAATCATTTTCATTTTGAAACTTACCCCTACCATTAAAAAGTGACAAAGTTTTTAGATCTGTATGTACGACTGTCGTCTTGCCTTCTCCAATAATCTTAGAATTTAAGGGTCGGCAGGCGACATGGTGGAGACGCCTATCGGCCGGCCGGGAATTACGGATTCTTATTTTCCAGATATTAGCGAAAATATTGAATGAATCTTATTAAATTTAGGATATTCTTAATCAGTAAGCTCATTTGTAGTCCTCTAAAGAGCTATTTTATGAAAAAAAGATAAAAATAAAAATTTTTAATAAACTTGGGGGAATGCACAGCTAGGAACGGGTAAGGTTGGGTTAGCCGCGAATCCGTATTTTATTTATTATAAATTTTTAAGAGCGAAAATGTAAAATCCGGCCTTTTAGAGGACTGCTTTATTATATAAAGAATATATTAAAAAAAAATTCACGAAGTTATGTCACTTATTTTATGAAATATCTGGACGATAAGATTCTCACTAGATTCATAAGGAGCAGGGGAAATTTCTGTGGTAACATGCTGACTGCTTGACAAGGAGAGAGCATCATTCCATCTTTGTCTCTCTTACATCGCATATGTAGTAGCGTCCATGTAGGTACAAACACTAATACGTGAGCACACGGATGCAAATATTGAGAGATAATGTCAGCAAAAAGGCTATCATATTATTTTTATTTTTTTGTATATGTATGCATATGTAAATAAAGAACAAAAATAAAAACTATTTTAAGATGACATTTTATAATTAATTTTCTATATGTATTTGCATTTTATTAATATATATTACATTTTTGATATGTTTTTAATTTATAATTTATATAAACATAAGTATGAAATAAAAATTGAAATAGTTCTGAAAATAAGTATATTAATGATAAAATTATTCAAAACAATAAAAAAATTAAATTTAATATTTTTTAGTGTTTGTACCTACATGGACGCTACTACATATGCGATGTAAGAGAGACAAAGATGGAATGATGCTCTCTCCTTGTCAAGCAGTATTAAAAGCCATATTAAAAGCTCTAGCTTCATTCAATTAATAATCCAATATAATAATCAACAATTATTTTTATATAATATATAGTATTTTTAAATATTTTTAAATATTTAAAAATATTTTTTTTAAGATTAATTGAGGAAAAGAATATTTTAAATATAAAAAAATATTTTAAATATTCTTTTTCAATTAATTTTTAAAACAAATTTTTAAAAATATTTTTATATATTCAAATACTTATTATATTATATAAAAATTATTGTGAATTATACTCATTGGAGTAATAATTATTGATTGAAGCTTGTTATGGCACAAACTGAACATCTTGTACATTGTCTGTATAATATTTTACTTATTTATAAAATGTTTTTTATAAATAAATGAAATATTATATATATATATATATAAGATTATAATATATAAGATTATTGATGTTACATTGTATAACTCTCATTTCTTTCTCTCTGCTACATAAGTACTTATGACGTGAAAGAACTTACGAGTAACGTATGATGGCTCAATGCAAGAATATTTAATCACGTAAAAAACTTGAGTTCAAATATATCAATATCAATTTTTTTATAATATATTGGAATATAGAAAATCATAGAAATATATTTTTTATATAGGCGATAAACTTAAAAATTTGATATTGAAAATATTTTAATCATTTTACAACTACACATACTATAAATATATAAATGCAAAATAATTCCGTAAATAAATTTCAAGTAATAAATCAATTGCACACATGCACACAGCTGGTATGTAGATTTTTATTAAATTTATTTTCTGAATTATTTTACACTTATATATAGTGTATGTAGTAAAAATATTTTCAATATATTAAAAAATTTTTAAATCGCCGAAATATATTTTTTTATCATTTTTCTATATTCTAATATATATATATATATTATAAAAAAATTGATATTGATATATTTGAACTCTAATTTATATACTGGATGATATACTGAACATCCTTGCATTGATTATACATTACTCAACGTTCTTTCACGTTATAAGTATTTGGAGCAAATTATACAATAGCATCAATAATCAAAAAGAAATCAAGAATATAATCAACATATCCCTTATATAATATATATATATATATATATATATATATGTTATATATATACGTTATGCACATATGTGCATAACCATATATACAATTTCCAAAAAGTGGGTGCTTATTAGTCTTGCTACGTTACTGCTTTCTGCTACGGAAGGCCAGAAAGCATTTTCAGGCGGCATCTCGCGTATACCGGCACGGTAGATGAACAAGGAGAACACGTGATTATCGGTCCTTGTCTCTCTTACGTGCGTCCGCGTGAGCGATGCAGTTGGTGTATGTACGTGTACAGACATACACCACTACATAAAACCCGAGAATTGGTTTCTCGGCGTTGGCAACACTGAAACCGGAGTTTCGCGTTGTCACCGCACGAGGTCTCCAATATCAATTCGGAGTTTGCCTGGGTGTACTGCCGACCCTTAAGCGGGGAGCAAACACTTTTGCAAAGATGCATAAGCGTAAGCATAAAGCGGGGAGCACACACTTTTGCATAGGCGCATAGCATAAGCATAAGAATCTTAATTAGTCTATGAACGTATGCATAAGAAATTTCAACTAATCGAATTTCTTATACATATACTTATGCGCTTATGCAAAAGTGTGTGCTCTCCGCTTTAAAACAAGCGTGGGGTATACAGGGTGTTCGGTAATTGTCGCCTCAACTGTTGTGTGCAGGTAAAGTGAGTTAAATCGAATAGGAAAGTCCTCTACCGTTTTGCGATTTACGCAATAATTATTGAGTTATTAAATAAAAAAGATCGGCCAATCCACGCGAATAGAAGCGCGCGACGAGAAGAGACGACCTACTCAAAGTCTGTAGATGAACGACGGGAGGGGAAAGAAGGTCGTCGCATGAGCCGCCATTTTGGGACCACAAAGTTATGTGTGTTGTATGTCGGTGTGTGTCATACGAAGTATTAGTGAAAAAAAACTATAGTTGAACAGCTGTCCGGTGGCTGGATTGGTGGCGCTATTTTGGGGCTCATGCTGAAACAATGATGCGACCTTACCCTCCTGTCGTTCATTTACGGATCTTGGTCCTACTGCAACACGATACACGAACATTTTTCGAACACGATTTGTACACAGTCATCGTTCGTTCCTCCCTCTGCTTTGCTGCGCGCCGTGTATCGTGTTACAGTAGGACGTTTCTTCTCGTCGCGCGCTTCTATTCGCACTTCTATCTTTTTTATTTAATAACTCAATAATTATTGCGAAAATCGCAAAATGGTAGAGGACTTTCCTATTCGGTTTAACGTTTAACTCACTTTACCTGCACACGATAGTTGAGGCGACAATTACCGGACACGCTGTATACTATGTAGCATAAGTAGTAAGCAGTAGCCGTATGGACAAACCTTAGGCTGTATTTGTATTTCTCTAATAAAAAAATCTCAGAATTTATAAATTGCTATATAATTTTGTCTCCCAAGCAGAAATGGCGTATGGGCATGCTTTGCTGAAGCCCAACCAATCATAAAGAGAAGAAGAAAATATGTTGTCCTAACTTAATTTAACCTAATCTAAACGTGACACTATTGTTCATTCTATCTGATTCTATCAAGTTTGTTGGCGTCCTTTGACGCGTTCAGACGTGTTTCATCTGAAAATTTTTTTCCGTTGTGTTCCGTTCTGATCCTAATATCTTCTCAAAATAACCCGCTGATGGCCGAAAGTCGTACTTGCGACTGGGTCAAAAAGAAGATCTGATTCTATCCCTATCGTATTTAGAATACAACGCACATAAAAGCAGCAAAATATTGATATAAATACGTTCCTATTATATATTTTACAAATATGGCGTTAATTTTAAATGTTTGTGCTCAAAAAAGACTTTTATTTGAGAATTTTAGTAATTTGAAACATGCTCTAATCTATAAGGTTAGAAATTTAGTTTTCTAAAAAAAAGTTCTTGAATTTTATAAAAGTGAATTAATTGCTACATAATGGAAACGATTTTCCCGATTATTAATACATATTTATGATTTTGTAGAAGTTTCCTATGGTGTATAATGTGAAGTACTTTTCAACAAAAAGTTATGAGGAAACTTATATGGACAGAACTGAAATTTATCATGGAACTTTAACAAGACAAGTTAGAGCTCTCAAACTTTTTTCGTTATTGACATCCACTGGTGGTTTATTGGCTCAACCATTTCTTTATTTGAAGGCTGTAGAAAGTGGTAATACAGGAGTTGTTTTAGGAATGTTTGCATTTGGATTTTTAGCTGTAACCACTCCTTTATTAATACATCTAATAACAAAGAAATATGTAACACACTTATATTACAATGCAAAAGAGGATAAATATATTGCAAACACTTATAATCTATTTGTTCAAATAAAAGAGGTATTTATAAATTGTACATATATGATGTATTGTTTATAATATCTTTTGGATAATATAAATTTTATGTTTCAGCTTACATTTACGCCAGACGATGTAGTGGTACCAGATATAACTGGCATGTTCACAAATTGTGTTATAAAAGGTACACCTTTATTTTTAGAACAAGAGTTTTTCCATGATTCTGTTCACTATATACGAATAATGGGATATGATAAGCCAATAGATTTTAAATTAAGTAATAAAAATAGTATTGATCAAACAATTACAGTGAACACTAAATGTAAAGATCATATAAATAAAAAATAATTATATTTTACTTCCGTTTAGATTTTTTTTCATCCTAAGAATCTAATGATTTCAATAAGTTGTTAATTAAAATTTAGTCAAAGTGGCTTTTATTGTTAGTTAAATATTTTATTTTTATCAGTTATAAAAATAAAATTAATAATTTGGTTGGAAATGAAGTCGACATTAATAAGTTTGTAATAAGAATATTATTATATTTATAATATCTTTGTGTGTATATACACACTATACTTTTATATTTATATATATATATATATATACATATATGTATATACATAAAATTTGGCGGCTATATATAGAGAACAATTAGACTAAATATCATTTCCAATATTATGGTTCATTCTCATCATGCAAAACGTGCTTTCTTATCATATGGTAACACATTCCAAATGTCAAGCAAGCTATTGCTGTTCCTTGCGCAGCAACTCGTAGCTGTATCAGGTACATCTGCGTAGAGATCTTCCTCTTTTTGAAAGCATAAGCACCATAGCCACAGATGCTCGTCAAACTTATTAAACCTGTTTAGAAAACAATAGCTGATATTAATGACAAATATACTTTTTTACATATTTTATTATGTATATACATACTTGCAACAAGAAATGGTGATCTTCGTCCTTTTTCTAATATTCTTTCTGACAATGTTTGGTCTACTATATCATTATTGGCGGCCATTTTGAAGGAAATTTAATTTCTGTTAACCTGAAAATTAATTTTTAAAATAATTTGTTTAGTACAAAACTTACATATTAGATTAAATATTCTAGATATTTTAAAGATAATTTTCATGTTTCCAGTAAAGCTGAACTTTCAAAATATATTATTTATTTCTAGATTTAGCATTTCTATTCAAATTTAAGTTGAAAAGACTTGTATTCATAAATTAATTTTTATTGATTTATATTTGCAATTAGACTTATTACAATTCAATTAAATATAATTCTATTATAAATAATTAATAATTATATAACGAGGTATATTATGGATTTTAGTTATACTGTATTTTCTGATTCAAGATTGAAAGAAACATTGTTCATTGATCTATGAATTGTTTTCCTCTTTTTTTTCAACATTATACTATTAATATATGGATATATATCACATTTATATAATAAGTATCCGTTAATAATAAACTAAATATAAGTATCATTTAATTATAAAAATCTATATTGTTCTAAATATACATCAAATTACTGATACCTAACCTAATTTAAAAATCTAACCATAAAAATAGAAATGCTTATAACAATAAAAATTTTCAAAACATATTTTCTTGTAATTTTTCATATTGAATATATTGAACTTAAATCATTTATATTTTTTCATAATGAACCTTGAAATCATTTAACTACGCATTCCTTCTCTTATATATTAATTTGTAACATAAGACATGTGAATTCTCTATTTATGTATTTCGGATAATTCTCTCTACATAAAAACATAAATCTGCATTCACGAAAGCACATATCAACTGTTGTGATGGGCTTTTCTCACCTTTATATATTTAGAAGAGTGCATAAAGTGTTGGAGTTGAAGGTGAAGGTCCCGTTAGTGCACATGTAATAGCACACATTCTTATATTGGGTGCGTTCCGTTATGCACTGCAAGTACTGACAGTACTACCAATAGCGTTCCGATATAGATAGCAGTGCACTGCGAAAGTACTATCATGAGTATATGACGTCATTAATTTTGACGTTATTTCCTGTTGCGATTACTGCAACCGGCGAGGTAAAGCACTCGCAGTAATCAAGATGGCTACCTCCATGTGTACGATGGAACTAACTTTTAAATTCCATATCTGAATATAATGATACAATATTTTTAACGTAATTTTTACATTTTATTCTAGGTATTTTAATTTGTCGTCTCATTTCATTTATTAATTCCATTTCCAAATCGCTTTCACTTGATGACTCACTCGAATCATATATATTCTCGATTAAATTATATGTAATTAATGCATAATGGTATTATCCATTTCATCAATTTTTCACTCGATGATTATTAGCGAAAAAGTTAGTTAAAAGTCTGCTGAAAGCGTACTGTAGTGCGTTCCGTTTTACTATTTTGCAGTAGCTTCAAAGTGCACAAAATTAAAAAGGAACGCTGTCAACAGTACACTTCATGACGTCATAGTGCCAGTACTTGCAGTGCATAACGGAACGCACCCATTGATTAATGGCTGGGGCAGAGAGAAAGATGAGAGCGGCCAGGCCGGCGTTTTGGCTATTACCGTTTTTACGGGACTGCTTGAAGCGCCCCTCGCACCCGTTTTTAATATCGGAACTAACTGCACACCCATTTTCTGGCAGGGTCGATAAAGTTTGTATTTGGTGCGAGTCCGTGCTACGCTCATAATTTTCGTGTTAACACAGTATCACGTATTCATTCTGTATATGTGCGATCTTTTCTCTTTATTTATATATATATATATATATATATATATATATATATATATGTATGTATTTATATAATTTGTATAAAAACTAAAATATAATTATTAAAATATATATATATGTATATGTGTAATGAAATATATAAATCTTATTTTAATTAAAATAAAAAGAACGATTAATTGTTCGATCACCTGGATTTTGGAATGTAATTTTTAATATATATTATATTATATTTAATATTTATCGCCGCTTCTATTAATATGAAGTGCAATGTCAACGTGCAATAATGTACAATTATTTAAAGTTTCCATGCCTAATGTATCATGCCGGTATAAAAGAACGTCAAGTAGCATGCGTAGCCGAGCAACTAAGATGACGAGCTGAAATCGTGGACATTTCAAGTTCATCAAACCCCTGCCTTTTTCAGATTTTTTTTTCACTTTTTTCAAATAAGTTATTATGTGTATAAATGTGTAATAATCAATATATCATTATTTGATAATTTTTTTTGTAATGGAACAAAATAAATTATTTTTAATTCTGCAAGGAATTTAATTATTAATGCAAACGCCCACACACATAATTTAGATATTCAATTTTTTTTAGTTCAAATGTTTCTTGCAATCTGTATACGACAATCAGTCCACTCGCTGTGCCACAGATTGCATCGCATAATACGCTCAGAGTTATAATACGATAGAGATCGCTTTACGCTGTTTTTCCTTGAAATAAATAAATTTTACGTGTTGTGTACGCGTGTTTAGTATATTTGTTTCTTTCATATTAATTTTAACTATAATTAGTTTTTTAATTAAGATTATTTTAGTGTTAGTTGTTTATTTGTTAGTGTCCTGTTTTCTTTAATTTCGCATTTTTTAATTTTCTTTTTTTTTTGGTGTTGGTGCTAATTATTATTTTTATTTTACAATGTCGAGTAAACACCGGTTTTACGATAAATGTGTGTATTTAAATTGCACAAATATTAGGACAAAAGATGGAAAACGTTTATTTCGATTTCCATTACAAACGGGTGCGAGACATGATTTATGGTTACGCAATAGTGGTGAGTTTATAAAATTGATTTACTTATTTATATCAATATATAATATATATTGATATGATATATGAAACAAATATATATATATATTCTTTGTTTTTTTTAATAAAATATGTCAGATATTATGTATGTTTACGTATGGATTACGTTGAAGTGTTTCTTTGCCGCGTTTTTCTGATCTCGCCGAACGGTTCGCGAATCCTGTGCGAATAAAAAACGATGCGCGTGTGTGTGTGCGTGCGATTGTGATGATCAGTTTCAGTTCGTCTTCAACGCTTGACGAGAGAAGAGGTCCCGAACTGCTGTAAGTTTATAAAAACATATTTTTGTATAACACATTAGAACGATTTTATATTATTTTTTTTGTCTAGAAAACGTTATATTAATAACCGTTATGAAAACGATCTCAACGACGGTCGTCACCGGCATCGTCGCCGTAGAATTCTAATGTAGATGAAATTTAATCTTAGTTTAATTTACTTTTAATTTTTTTAATTTGTAGAATTAGAATAAGATAAAAAGTAAGTTAAACCAATAAAATTGAAATTAATTTGCGTTAAAGAAGTAATATATAATATTTAGAAATAAATGAAAAATCATACAAATTAACAATTAGTATTAATAATCTTATCGACTTCTAATATTACTATATATTTACCATTCATTATTCAATATTCGAACTATTCACTATAAATATTGCATATTTTAAATAAATAAGTATTTTTGAAAATATAAAATAAAATATTTTAATTTTTTTTTAGCAAACTATATTATACACGAAAGAAAGCATGAGTAGTGACAGAGAAAAAGCAATTATTGGCACGGCAATATCAATAGGAAAAAAACTTTTGTCCAATTGCGAATTTGATTCCGATTCATCATTATCTGATAGTGAAACTGAAATTTTATTGACACTTATTTGCTCAAAAAAAAGAGAAACAAGGCTAAACGCATTGAAAGATATGTGGAAGAAACCATTCATCATTTCACTGACAAACAATTTCAGTCAAATTTTAGAATAACACGTGAAACTTTCCAAAGTTTACTTATTATTGTTGGTCCACAAATAGAAAATACTAATACTACTGGAACTGGGAGACCAATGGTCCCAGTTGAAAAACAGTTATTAGCAACAATATGGCTATTAGCGACGCCAGATTCTTATAGGTATCCTGACATTTTTATATATATGTAACGCTGATTTTTATTAGAAGTATGTAAATGTTTGCTCTTTCTGTAATCTAAAAGTAAATAACATTATGATGAAAAGAAAATTTTACTCTAAAAATTCAGACAATACCAAAATCAATTGTATATTTATTTTTAAACTATCATTAAATATATATTTATTATGTCTAAATTTAATTTAAAAATGATGTTCTTTTATGTAACAACAGATCAGTTGGAGAAAGATTTGATTTAAGCAAATCTACATTATTTTCCTGCTTTGTTCGAATTACGACAGCTTTAAATGATTTAGCACCTCAAGTGATTCATTGGCCAACAGAACAGGAACTTCCATTGGTAAAAGAAAAATTTAAAGCTATGGCTGGAATTGATGGTGTTATAGGTGCTCTCGATGGGACATGTGTACCAATTAAAGCACCATCAAAGGATCCAGAAACATATCGAAATCGTAAAATGTAGTACGCCATAACGCTGCAAGCAATTTGCGATGCTAATTTAAAATTCATAGATAGTTATTCAGGATATTCTAGTTCAGTACACGATGCTAGGATTTTTAGAAATTCTGACATTTATAATTTGATACGTCAAAATCCAGAAAAGTATTTTCCAAATGATGAATTTATTTTAGCCGATAAAGCTTATCCTACTTTAAAGTGGTGTATTACTCCATATATAAATCGAGGAAATTTGACAAGACAGCAGGGAATTTTTAATACACGAGTTTCACAGACAAGACAAACAATTGAAAGAGCATTTGCTCTTTTATTTGGTCGATTTAGACGCTTAAAATATTTGGACATGAACAGAGTCGATTTAATACCCAAAACGATACTTGCATGCTGTGTTTTGCATAATATATGTCTAGATTTTAGCGATGATTTGATATGCGAATATGTACAAGAAGGTATGGAGGCAATAATGGAAAAACCACAGGAACAAATTATATATGAAAATGAAAATGAAAACGACTTGGAATGAACGTCGCGATGCACTATGCAAAGCATTAAATCAAAATCGTCGACAAATGTAATATGTTCTCAGTGCTATATTCTGTAATATAACATATATTCTATAATATATTTTATAACTATATTTTATAATATAACATAAATAGGATATTCAAAAATAGGATCGCCCTAATACAGTTAAAATAAAAATATACTTTTAAAATAATATACTATATAATAATATCAATTTAAAATAAACTTTTTCATTTAGATACTTTGAGGCGATATTTTTTAGAGTTAATACAGTAACCACGTCTTTGGCACAGATTTAAAGAAATTGAAAATCAATTTTTTTTTCGCATTCAAGAAAATAATTTATTAAGGGTGCTTTCCTTTTAGCGACACAAGTTGACACAATCATCATTCTGTCTTTTTTAAACATTCAGGCTTTAATAAAAGATAGAATGATACTTGTGTCAGCTTGTGTCAACTTGTGTCGCTAAAAGAAAAACGTATTAATTCAAACAATTTTTTAATCATTAACTATTCAATCTCATTTTTCTTGGATGCAAATCTTCTTATAATTTAAATTAATACTGATATACTTATCATTATATAAAATGTATTGCAGAGCCGGACGGAACAATATTAAATAATCTTATCACAGCTTTATAGCTTTTCCATTAATTTTTCCATCATGCGTTCATAAGAACTTATACTTTGTCGAAGAAGTTCTTGTTTTTCTTCGTGCCTGGCCTTCTTTGCGTTTTCTTTATCTTCAAGTATAACTTGTAAATCACTGAGAGTTATTGTACTCGCTCTCTTTCGTTGTTTTTTTTATTATCTTTCGCATCATCAAGATCTTTCTGTGTAACTGTAAAATAATAATGTAACTTATAATAAATGTAAACAAATTCTTAACCAAATACATTTATATAAAATAATAATATTTATCATACCTTCAAACTTAATATTGTCATTCGATAAACTTGCTATTGCAACAGGAATAACATTGGGTTTATTTCCAAACAATTCATCGAGTTCCTCAAAGTTATCACATTTTACTGGTGCTGCACCAGTACTTTTAGGACCCATATTATCTATTTTTTTAAAATACTTTTTCTTCATGTATTTCATTTTTTCTTTACATTGTGCTGCAACAAAATTATAGCCTTCGCATTTCATACCACAGGCAATTTTAGTCCAGATATCGTCCTTTTTAATGCAATTGGAACTAAAATCATTTTGATACTTTTTGTACAAATGTAGCAGCATTGCTCTACTTTTATCTGTCCATAAGTTTTTCATTCCTTTATCCAGAACTTTTTCATTGCTCTCTTCTAAGGGTATCAATATTATGTTCTCAGTTTCTTCTAAGATAGATGTCGAACAGCGAGATGAATTTTCTGTATCAACATTTTTTTCGGGTAACATAATTTCTATTCCATACGGTTTGAGCAAAGTTTCAATAATATATTCCGTTAAAGGAATATAAGCCATTCTGCCTGCTGTAAAATATAATTAAAAGAGGTTATGTTATTTGTAAACGTTTTTTAACAATTAACTTGAGAATTATACAAAGCAATTTTTACAAAGGAACTAGATATTAAGCATTTATTAAGCATAATTCGTTCTTTGTCGTGTCTATTAAGACACAACAAAAGGCGAAATAAATGTACCAAATTTCTAAACATATATTTTGTAACTTACTTTTATTGTCACGTAAATAAACTTCCGACATTTCTGCGTTGAAAATTGGATTTCTATCGGCACCTTCTATAACTTTATACAAAGCTTGGGATTGTGATATCTTACAATTAGACATATTTGGTACACTATTGTAATTTCACTTATTTCACGTACGGACAGAGAGGTTTCTTTCCCCTGGTACGGAATTCTTGTGTAAAATGTGAAAAGTGCGTTTCTGCGCATGACGGGTAAACTCTACCTCAGTCGCGAGCAGGGTACATAAGGAGCACCCTGGGTAATTCCTCAAGAACTTTCTAAACGCATGTGGGTAAAGGTAACTTTTCCACCATAATGTATTTTTCGACTTTCTGAACGAGTTCAGAGACATTTATACCCTGCGGGTAACGTTTACGAACGCAGCCTTAAGTTGACTAGATTCCGGGAAGAACGAAAAAGTAACCTCGACATCTTGTGTTCAGTTAAGTAATGATTTTTATTATATGTAATTAAATATAGAAGATGATCAAGAATATCACGTATGACAAATATAAAAATTATTATTATTCAGTATAAAAATGCTATTACATTAAGTACATTAATTATATTTTAAAAAAGGGTATAGGTTCGATGTTTATATAAAAAGATATAACACTTACGGTGTCATTATCCATTTTTTTCACACATTCTACATAATTTACAGTTTTTGGAATTATTCTTCTAGTTCGAAGAGTTGTAATTATTTCTTCTTGCTCGCTTGAACTAGAAGATTCCAAAAATGTCTCCAAAATATTAAAGAGAGCCAAATCCGAATTGCTCATTATGTCAAATTTTCGTTCAAAAGAATGCCCTACTGCTTGCATGCATCCAGTGCACTGAACTGGCACCGTCAAAATATCTCGTGCCACTTAGTGCGCACTGAGTGCGCTCTATGCGAGTGTTGTGCGTTCAAACGAACACACAACACTAGCCAAGTGCGCATTGGCACTACCAATCGAACACGCGCCTGACATTCAGTGCAGCCAGTGCACCCCAATCGAAAACGCTATAATAATATAGCCCAAAATGTCGCGTTTTTCCGCATCTCACTTGTTGGTATAGAATTATATCACAAAAAGTGCGCATGATGGAATGAAGTTAGAAATTTAAATTAATCTTTATCTTAATATAATATAATAATAAACTTTATTTATTTAATATCAAACTTAATCTTTATCTTAATATAATATAATAAGCTTTATTTATTTAATATCAAAATTATAATGACTTATGTGGATAGATCAGAAATTTATTTAATATCAAAGTTATGACTTATGTGGGTAGATTAGGAATAGAAAATAATACGCATTCTTCTGCGTTTCTAATACCAAAATTAGTAAGTGTGATATAATCTTCATCTTCAAGATCATTTTCAGTGGATAGTGTAAAATGAGATGTTTTTATTGGTTTAACGTTTAACTTATAGCGCATGGCATGATGCGACGTATGACGAACTCAGTGAAAACGTGGCCCAAAATTCATAATTGTCTTGTAATTGGTCAATTCGCTTATAATTTGTGATGTATGACTTATTATCAGAATCGGCATTCGGCATAAAGAGTTTTCACAGTTTCAGACTTGTAAAACGAAATTGAGGACTTTCGTTAACGGAATAGCCCAAATGCGGATTTCCGCATTTGAAAATTTTTTACCGCACGCAGACCCCTCTAGATAGCCCAATTTGCGGTAAATAGCCCAATCTGGCAGCTCTGATTGCATGAGCTTTTAGTCAAGAGATTGTGACGTAGTAGACATACTGGTACATAATTGGTTATCGAATAGGGAATTTTTAGTCTAAAGTGGGGAGCACACACTTTTGCATAGGCGTATAAGCGTAAACATAAAGCGGGGAGCACACTAGGCGCATAAGCGTAAGCATAATAATCTTGATTGGTCTATAAATGTATGCATAAGAAATTCAACCAATCGACTTTCTTATGCATATGCTCATGCGCTTATGCAAATGTGTGTGCTCCCCGCTTTAGTATCACATCACTGGCATATTTTTGGCAATTTGATATTCATTTACACGTAATTTGCTGGTGTATCAAATAATACATAAGCTAACCATTTGCGTGCAATATGTACAACTAAACATATTCCACATGCAAAACTCAAGCAAATCTCGTACACAATTTATATACATAAAACGCACAAATTTTGCACGCAAAAATTGTTATCTGGGTATCTTTATTATTTATGTCACATGTCTATGTATATATATAAAGATAAGATAATGTCAAAATTTCATCTAAATTCTAGATGATTATCTATATCATTTTATTTAGATAACAGCAAACATTGATTGTAATATTATTTTCATATTGGGTTTTTTTATTTTATCTCTAGAATACATTATTATTAAAGTATTGTACAATAATTTTGGGACATCTTTTACATTATTATATTTTATCATGAAAAAAGATAATAAATTTGTATCATTTGAGATTTACAATTTGTAACTAAAATGAATAGATTTCGTAAAAAAACTGGTTGTTTATACATATATTAACTTCGCCACATCACATTTTCTTATTAACGTATGATTATTATGTTATATACGAGCTTTTCATCAGAAGTGATTAATTTTACTTTTTGTAAATTTTTTACATTTACCACATACCACATAGCATTATAATTTTATTTTTGTGCTCTATATAATACAATACTAAAATTAAGAAATCTACAAAAAGTATCAATTTGGTTTTTGAGAAGCTTATATTTTACATATATTTCCAGCAAAAAGTTTCTTCTGAAAACAATCAAATTGAACTCCTTATTTTACTTATATATATTTTATATCATACATATACAAAAGCGCACGCTGGGCTATTTTAACGCGATAATTGAGAAAACAACATGTTATTAAGCCTAATAGGCACCTGTATTTTATCGACTATGTTTGACCATGCATATATTTTATATTCATTCTTTATTCTTTCTGTTACATTCATCTGTTAATATTATAAATCAATAATAAAACATACATAATTTTTAGCTATAATTTATATGTACGCATAAATGAGTATATGAAAATAGAAAATTCATAAAAAGTGAACATCTGGAATAAAATTCATAAAAAGTGAGCTGGACAAGAAACTCAAAGGCATTTTCAAACAGAATCTCTGATATAATGATATGCTTCGATTATAATCATTAATGCTTTGTGTAAATTGGCACAATAAGAGAGAGATATATATATATATATATATATAGAGAGAGGGGGGGAGAGGGAGAGAGAGAGAGAGGGAGAGAGAGAGAGAGAAGAAGCGAGATAGGGACCCAAGTAGCAAAATGACGATATTTTGACGTCTAATGATGTCATTCGACGTAAAAATGACATATACTACGTGGATAAGGAGGGGAGAGAGAAAAAATATTAGTATTTCTTATTTAACATCAGCTTCCACACGACAATCACGTTTATGAAATATGAATGTACTGGTTTGTAGCTGCGCATATGATGCTATAGATAGATCTACATGCACTGTGCAGGAAATAAATATAGTGTAACTGTTTCTTTTCTAAGCAATTAGTATAATACTACAGACATTTTTTAATAATCTCTATTATAATGCGGTCCAGTATGCGCTATTAAATGCTTTGACCGCTACGTTGCAAGTACCATAAAATATACGGTTCACGAACGCTGTAGATGCTACCGTTACTAAGCAAATGGACCAGGTTATAACACTTGTAGCTGTGTAGCACGAGCATATTCTTCTTCTGTCACATGTAATGTAAATATGTCATCAGTTTTTCATCAAGCAATTGTAATTCCATTTAAAATTTTTTAATAGTATTACAACTTTTCTTAGTATGTACTACAATTGTTCATGGATACCAAATTTCTATAACATACAGCTAACCCACCTCGTAAGGACAGGCATTTGAAGCGTCTTGGGGTGCGTTCCGTTATGCACTGCAAGTACTGACAGTACTACCAATAGCGTTCCGATATAGGGTGCGTTCCGTTATGCACTGCAAGTACTGACAGTACTACCAATAGCGTTCCGATATAGATAGCAGTGCACTGCGAAAGTACTATCAGAGAGAAAGATGAGAGCGGCCAGGCCGGCGTTTTGGCTGTTACCGTTTTTACGGGACTGCTTGAAGCGCCCCTCGCACCCGTTTTTAATATCGGAACTAACTGCACACCCATTTTCTGGCAGGGTCGATAAAGTTTGTATTTGGTGCGAGTCCGTGCTACGCCCATAATTTTCGTGTTAACACAGTATCACGTATTCATTCTGTATATGTGCGATCTTTTCTCTTTATTTATATATATATATATATATATATATATATATATGTATTTATATAATTTGTATAAAAACTAAAATATAATTATTAAAATATATATATATATGTATATGTGTAATGAAATATATAAATCTTATTTTAATTAAAATAAAAAGAACGATTAATTGTTCGACCACCTGGATTTTGGAATGTAATTTTTAATATATATTATATTATATTTAATATTTATCGCCGCTTCTATTAATATGAAGTGCAATGTCAACGTGCAATAATGTACAATTATTTAAAGTTTCCATGCCTAATGTATCATGCCGGTATAAAAGAACGTCAAGTAGCATGCGTAGCCGAGCAACTAAGATGACGAGCTGAAATCGTGGACATTTCAAGTTCAAACACCTGCCTTTTTCAGATTTTTTTTTCACTTTTTTCAAATAAGTTATTATGTGTATAAATGTGTAATAATCAATATATCATTATTTGATAATTTTTTTGTAATGGAACAAAATAAATTATTTTTTAATTCTGCAAGGAATTTAATTATTAATGCAAACGCCCACACACATAATTTAGATATTCAATTTTTTTAGTTCAAATGTTTCTTGCAATCTGTATACGACAATCAGTCCACTCGCTGTGCCACAGATTGCATCGCATAATACGCTCAGAGTTATAATACGATAGAGATCGCTTTACGCTGTTTTTCCTTGAAATAAATAAATTTTACGTGTTGTGTACGCGTGTTTAGTATATTTGTTTCTTTCATATTAATTTTAACTATAATTAGTTTTTAATTAAGATTATTTTAGTGTTAGTTGTTTATTTGTTAGTGTCCTGTTTTCTTTAATTTCGCATTTTTTAATTTTCTTTTTTTTTGGTGTTGGTGCTAATTATTATTTTTATTTTACAATGTCGAGTAAACACCGGTTTTACGATAAATGTGTGTATTTAAATTGCACAAATATTAGGACAAAAGATGGAAAACGTTTATTTCGATTTCCATTACAAACGGGTGCGAGACATGATTTATGGTTACGCAATAGTGGTGAGTTTATAAAATTGATTTACTTATTTATATCAATATATAATATATATTGATATGATATATGAAACAAATATATATATATATTCTTTGTTTTTTTTAATAAAATATGTCAGATATTATGTATGTTTACGTATGGATTACGTTGAAGTGTTTCTTTGCCGCGTTTTTCTGATCTCGCCGAACGGTTCGCGAATCCTGTGCGAATAAAAAACGATGCGCGTGTGTGTGTGCGTGCGATTGTGATGATCAGTTTCAGTTCGTCTTCAACGCTTGACGAGAGAAGAGGTCCCGAACTGCTGTAAGTTTATAAAAACATATTTTTGTATAACACATTAGAACGATTTTATATTATTTTTTTGTCTAGAAAACGTTATATTAATAACCGTTATGAAAACGATCTCGACGACGGCGTCACCGGCATCGTCGCCGTCGTCGAGATCGTTTTCATAACGGTTATTAATATAACGTTTTCTAGACAAAAAAATAATATAAAATCGTTCTAATGTGTTATACAAAAATATGTTTTTATAAACTTACAGCAGTTCGGGACCTCTTCTCTCGTCAAGCGTTGAAGACGAACTGAAACTGATCATCACAATCGCACGCACACACACACGCGCATCGTTTTTTATTCGCACAGGATTCGCGAACCGTTCGGCGAGATCAGAAAAACGCGGCAAAGAAACACTTCAACGTAATCCATACGTAAACATACATAATATCTGACATATTTTATTAAAAAAAACAAAGAATATATATATATATATTTTTCATATATCATATCAATATATATTATATATTGATATAAATAAGTAAATCAATTTTATAAACTCACCACTATTGCGTAACCATAAATCATGTCTCGCACCCGTTTGTAATGGAAATCGAAATAAACGTTTTCCATCTTTTGTCCTAATATTTGTGCAATTTAAATACACACATTTATCGTAAAACCGGTGTTTACTCGACATTGTAAAATAAAAATAATAATTAGCACCAACACCAAAAAAAAAGAAAATTAAAAAATGCGAAATTAAAGAAAACAGGACACTAACAAATAAACAACTAACACTAAAATAATCTTAATTAAAAAACTAATTATAGTTAAAATTAATATGAAAGAAACAAATATACTAAACACGCGTACACAACACGTAAAATTTATTTATTTCAAGGAAAAACAGCGTAAAGCGATCTCTATCGTATTATAACTCTGAGCGTATTATGCGATGCAATCTGTGGCACAGCGAGTGGACTGATTGTCGTATACAGATTGCAAGAAACATTTGAACTAAAAAAAATTGAATATCTAAATTATGTGTGTGGGCGTTTGCATTAATAATTAAATTCCTTGCAGAATTAAAAATAATTTATTTTGTTCCATTACAAAAAAATTATCAAATAATGATATATTGATTATTACACATTTATACACATAATAACTTATTTGAAAAAGTGAAAAAAAAATCTGAAAAAGGCAGGGGTTTGAACTTGAAATGTCCACGATTTCAGCTCGTCATCTTAGTTGCTCGGCTACGCATGCTACTTGACGTTCTTTTATACCGGCATGATACATTAGGCATGGAAACTTTAAATAATTGTACATTATTGCACGTTGACATTGCACTTCATATTAATAGAAGCGGCGATAAATATTAAATATAATATAATATATATTAAAAATTACATTCCAAAATCCAGGTGGTCGAACAATTAATCGTTCTTTTTATTTTAATTAAAATAAGATTTATATATTTCATTACACATATACATATATATATATATTTTAATAATTATATTTTAGTTTTTATACAAATTATATAAATACATATATATATATATATATATATATATATAATATAAAGAGAAAAGATCGCACATATACAGAATGAATACGTGATACTGTGTTAACACGAAAATTATGGGCGTAGCACGGACTCGCACCAAATACAAACTTTATCGACCCTGCCAGAAAATGGGTGTGCAGTTAGTTCCGATATTAAAAACGGGTGCGAGGGGCGCTTCAAGCAGTCCCGTAAAAACGGTAACAGCCAAAACGCCGGCCTGGCCGCTCTCATCTTTCTCTCTACATAATTAAGTAAAAGTGCTTGTTATATAATTATATAAATTTATATATAATATATATATATATATATATATATATATACAAGTGTAATAAATAAGTATTTCTTTATATATATAAATATATATGTTTTATATACAAATTTGACATGATTATATATGCACCCTTATTTTTTATATATAAATTTACATAATTATGTATAAAAATGGACATATTTTAAAAGAATGAATGAGTGAGTGAACGAGTAACTGGCTGTTGCCGTAAAACGATATGATTGATTGCATTGATTACTAATTGATAGAATACTAACAATAAGCATAAAGGATCAAGAAAGAGAGAGAGAGAGAGAGAGAGCTCTCTTTTTTTACTTTTCAGAAAATAGTGACATTCAATGCAAACGATCAATTATACATATATCTCCTTACGACACATACAACGCGGGAAAATTTTTTATATATAATTATATTAAATAATTGTGTAATTATAATTTTGCGAAAAATAACAAAAATTGGGTACATGCTAAAAATGTAGCATGTAGACACCCTATATATACATATTTGTAAACAAAATCGTGTGCGCGCAATGACATATATTTGCGCGGGATGGTTCACTTGTCACGCGGTACGTACTATACGTGCTTACACGCAGTGCGCGACTCGACCGTTATAACGTGTGATAACGTGTCGAATATTGTGATAGATAGACATACTGTGATATTTTAAAAGTAATATTTTTATATTTATTAAATATATAGTGTATAATGGGTGCAAACAAAAATAAACGTTTGCCCCTATCTGGTCGCGCAGATTGAGTAGAAAGGGAGCATGTTTTAAAAGGTTAGTATTATGTCATATCATAAAATTGATTCAATATCAGAATTACTGTTACATACAGCACAAATACACAAAATATTACATACCTATTTATTATGCACATAAATGTATATAACGATTAGATAGACAAAAAAAAAGAAATATATATATATATATATATATATATATATATAACATTATAAACAGTACAAATAAACATTAATTATATACATCTATTTGTTATACACATACATGGATATAATGAATAAATTAATAGATACAGAAAGCTGAAGAAAAAAAAGAGAAAGATAGTGAGTATGAGTTCTCTAGCCTCTTTACATTATAAATATATATCATAAAGCAATATATATATGTATATATACATACACACATACATGTATACATACATAATAATATATTGCTTGTCGACGTTTATAAAAAGGCTCACTCGTTCGCTCTCTTTCTATTTATTTCTTTTTTCTTCTATTTCTTTTTTTTTGTATATCTAATCGTTATATACATTTATGTGCATAATAAATAGGTATGTAATATTTTGTGTATTTGTGCTGTATGTAACAGTATTATGTATGCTGTATGTATATATATATATATATATATATATATATATATATATATATTATAATAGTGCGCATGATATTTGAGACGTTTCTGATAATTAAAAAATTTATATTGTACAAATGAATTTGTTTCAAAGCTATTACGTAACAGAAAAATTTAAAAAAAATGTTTTCA